AACCAGAAGACCCTGAGACCCGAAGGGACCAGAGTTGCCACCTCCTAACATAAATGCATCACGTCAGAAGGCTTTGCAGATCTGAGAATTTTGGGGACTGGAGTGAAGTTCCTTTTGTCTAATTAATTGCATCGTTAGGGTACTGAACTATTTGAGATAGTGTCAGTACTGTTAAAACAAAAAAAAATGACATTTTTAAAATTTATAGGTGTATAAAGTTTGTAAAATCGACTTAGTGGGTGTGATGTGTATAAAGATGGGCTCTTATCACTGTTTTTTCCTGTTTACAAAGGACATAGGTATGGTTTTACAGAGGAGAAAGGGGGCATAAGCATATTTCAATCTTTATTTTTAAAGGGGTTGAGACAGCAGACCTCTGTGGTAATTAATATTTCTTGTCTTTTTCTTTTTTTCAGCACAAAATGAGAAACAAAGTTCAAAACTGCATGCCTATGTTACAGGTAACTAATTCCAGAGTTAGTTCATCAGGGCTTGGCTCCAGACAATGGTTCTGCCAAGAATTTACTGTAGCTCTTCAGTGCATGATCTTTTTCCACTTTAAATTCACTCACCTAGGCCTGTACGCACCACTGGATGTTTAAAGCTACACATCTTTATTAGAACCACATGGGTATCAAAGGCAAATTAAGTAATTTGTACAGAAGCACAAAAGAGCACATTGTAAACCGTGTCGCCTTCAGTAATGTATACCTACGCTTTTTAATCACAGTTGTTCCGGAAGAGGCTAACGCATGACTTACAGCTTGAAATGATTTACTGAATAAACCATCACAGTCACACTACAAAAAAATGAAATGATTGCAGGAGGAAGCTAACTACAGTATGTTTATTTGGAATTCATTCCTTTCATTATACCCTACACTCCTGTGGTTCTTTACTTCTCCCAAAGGATCCCAGAGCTCTTCAGATAATAATAATAATAATTATAATAATTGCTTACACTTTATAGCGCTTTTCTGGACACTCCACTCAAAGCGCTTTACAGGTAATGGGGACTCCCCTCCACCACCACCAATGTGCAGCATCCACCTGGATGATGCGACGGCAGCCATAGTGCGCCAGAACGCTCACCACACATCAGCTATCAGTGATGAGGTGAGAACCCACTTCATCCACCTGGAAATGGAGTACACAGCAGCTCCACTGCAGAGCACAGCAGGTAGAATAGTCAGGTCTTGCTTCACCTCTTCAATTAAAGGGGGACTTTTGGAAGGCCAGGTTATGCAAACCCAGAGTGGAATTTAGCCAGGACATTGGGGTTAGCGCCCCAGATGGGTTAGAAGACAACTCGATCCTCTAGTGAACACCTCAGAAACTCAGTTGAGCAGAGGTTTAAATCTTCCAACAGTTTCATAACCAAGGAAACAATAGTCGAATTGTTTCACTTAAGTAGATGATGAGGCAATTAGGAACTCGGGAGCAACAAGCTTCACAAAGCTTGTGAACCTCAAGAACCACAGTGAAGTAAACCCTAGATTACAGCTGGCTCCCCCTCTCTAACAGATAACACTGCATGTCTGCCTGGGAGTCTAGTGGGAGTCTGAAATAATACATATGCATAGAAGAGCTGTATTGTAAGAATGTGATTAAGCACATTAGATTAATTATTGAACAAAACATTAGACCTTGAAGTTGTTTTATTGGACAGAAAGGTAGGCTCATGCCCTTGCAATGTTATAGGGTTGATTTGCACCTGTTGTGTTCATGGTACGTTCCCATTGGATAAATGTGCTGATCTTCATTCTGGCATTCAAGAGTATGACCTCTCATTAAATGCCCAGCATTGATCCTTCAGAGCAAGACTTGCCAGGGCTCTTATAAACAGAAGGCATCACAAGCCAAAGAAACTTCTGTTTACATACTTAGCACTCATATTAGAGATACACATCTGGACACGTGTTCAAAGTACAAATACAGTAGCATCTTGGAGATCAGGCCTGTGTAGTATATGTGTATTTATTCAATCATTTTAGCTGCAGTAGTGCTAATCACAACAGTCAATCCCAGAGATCTCTACAGAATTATATAGTAGTTGATAATATTGTACAAAAGCAGTAGACCGTGTAGGTACAGAGGAGAGGAAAACAAAAACTCCCAGTGGAAGAAATAAAGCTCTAGGGGTCATGGGCCTGATGGTTGTCCTTGTCTAGGCAATTGACCACATCTAATACAACTATAATAATAATTTAGAAGACCACCCCACTTATATACTTATTCTTGTTCTGGAAAGCAATGGTGGAATATATGAGTTAAGAAGGAAAGAATTTTACCGCGGGGTTTCCGTAAAATAAGCAAACGATCCTTTTGCATGCTTAACTGTATATGCGGCTTTACAGAAGCTTACTGTGATAGCTTGTAAACGTTTACTACCTCCTGCATGCATACCAATCAAACAAGTCGAGGGTGATATCCACTCTAGACTTTCACAAGAGTTAAGACACAAACTGTTTGTGGTTATGTTCCTTAGACGTCCTTATGGAATGTAACAGAGTACATTCATATGTATTTCCCTGATTCCCACAGCCAAATTCGTATTTATTGATGTTAATGGAATTTGATTGAAACACAGAAAATGGTAACACATAGAGAAGTATGAATACATGAGATTTCAGAAGAGAAGCATCTCCCTCAAGGGAGCAGCAGCAGTAGTGGTTAGGCCTCTCAACTCCAGACCACAGGGTTGTTGGATCAGCTCCTGGAAGAAGCACTGCCACTGTGCCCTTGAGGTAGTTCACTCTGTTTATTTCATTAAATTCCCTGCTGCATAATGGAGTCTCCAGGTCATCATTGTAATTGAGAATCTGTTATCATTCCCGTAAACTAACTGACGAAAAACAGGCAGAAACATTCACTTTTGGAAAATAATTTCCATTGGGAAAAATGCTTGAGCGGTTTCGGCGTGATCCACAGCTAAATAATGACAACACAATTACAAAACACACAATACGTAATACAACGTCGTGATCCAGAGGCATCCCTTGATAGTAATCTGGATAATCAAAGAAGAAACCTTGATCCCTTGACAGAGAAAACAGTCTTCTTCCATCACTTGCTGAGCCCTGTTAAAACTGCATTAACTAGCTCTTCAGGCCTGAATCATGTTACCCAGAATTGCTGAGACAAAAATTGTTTTCTGGCTTCAATTAAAGAAATGCTCTCTGTCCAAACCACATTAAAAAGGCCCTTTCCTGTTTTCAGTAAGAACGCAATAATCTGGAGACGATATGACTGACAGAGGCACTTCTTAACATGCTCTAGGTATTTAATGAAGTATTCTTCTGGAAACCCCCATTTACATGCTGAGTATTGCCTTTTAGTGAGAGTTAGAGTAATTAAAATATTTTGCGGTAATTAGAAGGATTACATTGAATACACTAAAAAAAAGTCAAATTTCAACATAAATGCCACCATATTGTTATGTTTGAAACCAAAGCCCAAAGTATTCCCCAAACACATAGGGGTTGTACACTTGTTCGCTTGCTTGTTGCTTAGGGATCTAAACTCTTCATTGAGCTGTTTCCTCAAGGTCTTCATGGAGAATGACAGCAGTGGAAGTAGGATTGTTTATTGAGATGTGGAGACTTGGCTTAACTCACTTGGCGGAGGGCCAACCTCCCGGCCATTGGACGACCCCCCCCTCAGCCAACCAAGGGGGCAGCTGCAAAAGAGGTGGAGGAGGGATGCGAACAATGAGTGAGGAAGAGGAGAGGGTGACGTGTGGTATATACTGTATGGAGACTGAGCGCTTACGTCAGAATTAGTGCAACTTGCGGCAGCTGGGTTTAATTAGTTTGGCTGCCTTTATCCCTCCTGACCTTTCGTTAAAAACTCCATTGGTGCTCACTTGACCCTTCATTCGGTATATCAGTTAAGCAGTAGTTGCTGTTTAGACTCTATTACCTTTGGGATCCCCTAGCAATAAGGCTTTGACTGCATCAGCAGAAGAACTCTACTCACTCACCCACACCATGGATCCAGGTTGCTGAGAGCTCCATTTAAATCATAGCAAAATACGCCGAGATCCAATAATCTTGGAGGGAATGCCGATGTTCTCAGCTCTAATGTTTATTTTGCTACCGCCAAGTTGGACAAACAGATACGTTTCGGCCATGGCGTTTGGAGTCATCTTCCTCGACTTGGAGTTACCATGTGTGAAGATGGAACGGTCCTATTTAGAATCATAGTTTAACAAGAGACCTGTTCCAGAACTTTACCCAAATCTGGACACTTTCAGAACAAGTGTGAAAAAGGTGCCTTTATTCTTGATGTGCTCGTTTTTCCTGTGTGCCACACCTGACTTCATCTGAGCTCCTTTCAACAGGGTATTCATTTAGGCTATCTAGATTTAAGCACAGTGGAACCAGGATATCCTTTATTCCCATGGTTATTCACCCATTTAATTTGGACAACTGATATATTTGGAATATTTTACTTTATTTTTACAACATGCATGCATCGTGCATGTCTCTATCTCACACCCCATCTTTTTTATTTGTATTTCTATATTTTAAGGCTTACAATTGTTGTTTGTTTTTCATTTACAGTATTTATATTTCTTATTTGTTAAATTTCCTATCTGGCACTTTAAAGGACATAAGTATACTTTGTGCATTAACCTGTAAGGACGACAGTGCAGCGTGTTGGGGTTTAACATGAAACATACAAAACACGCAAGAAAAGCGCGGGCAAATGAACGATGCATATTTCTTGTGCAGAAATAAAAAAAGATTGCCCATAACACGTTTTAACAAGGCTTATGTTTTGGCTGTGTCTCGAAGGCCATTCTTTTGTTTAAATAGGACACTCAGAGGGTAAGGAGCTATTGGTGACACAGTAGCCTTTATTCTCAGTACTTTTTTCTACTTCAGCCACAAACTCCTCCTGCTTTGCCACAGTTACTAAATGTCCATGTACTCTCTACTCCAGTTACAATAAACATGTTTTAGATTAAAGAAAACACTGCTTAATCCCACCGAAGATGATTTCGGAAACCTTTATTTACAACAGAGCAAAAGCGTAAGAATTGTTACAAAAACGTTTAGAAAAACAAAATCCCACTTTCATTCGAAAACAAAACGAAATATAACCACTAAATTGTTCTTAGCTTTCCCTTTAACAATGAATTTAAAGCAACTTTGCATGACTTACAACAGAGAAATATCTAGTTGAGTCACCGTAATTGGAACGGAAATTGCACATTCAGTGAGGTAAACTAAGGGACTGAGTCAGACACAAGGATCGCGTCCCAGATCGACACTTATTTTTGCTCTTCCAAATTAAATAACTTTAAGAAACAATAATGTTCCGCTTGAATTCAATACAGATGTTAGTGCATTTTACATTATCTCAGATTGTTTATTTTTTTACAAAAAGAACATCATCCTATCAATATATAGTAAATCTTGGTACAAAAATACTTTTTTTTCTTGGTGTTGGAGACATTCTGAATTTCACACTATGTGAAATGTTTAGAACATTATTTCCATACACCCAAGCAAGTCTACGTTTTTCTTCCAGTTTGAGCGAACGCAGCGTTACAGTACATGTGGTGCTTTATCCATTAAAGTCACGTTAAATTTACCTCCCGGATTTTGAAAAGACAAAATACAACTCCTGGCATTAATAAAACCAACAACGATTAAGCTACTCAAAATTCGTATCAAGGAATATATTTCTGCGATGTTTTCTCACAAGCAAGAAAAAGAGCGAAGACGCTTTATGAATACGGTCCTTAAAGTAGATGTTTTTTTTTTCTGGCTGTAAACTTTCACACCAGGGAATTTGAAAAAAGTGTTCAGAAATGTCCTTCTTTCTCCTAACATTTAAGAGACTTAACATTTAATTTAGGGGGGGGGAAATCGCCTATTTAAAAAACAGGTCTACTAACTAATGGGGACAGCAAAGATGGCTGCGAGCACAGACTGAAAGGTGGGTAGCAGTCTCTCAGGGTGCCCTGCGGCGTGCACGGTAACGCCGCGGGGAAAGGCAGAGGGAAAAGGCAGTTATTCTGGACGCCTTGTTCCATGTTTTCGGCCTCCTTCCCCCCGCGTTCTTTCTTCCACTTCGTACGGCGGTTCTGAAACCAAATCTTCACCTGCGTTTCGGACAGGCGCAGCGCCGTGGCGATGCCGTAGCGCTCGTAGACGGACAGGTAGTGCCTGGCACGAAAGTGGTTCTCGAGGACTCGGAGCTGCTCGAATGTAAAGGCTGTCCGGATCCGCCGGGACTTGCATCTGGGCTTTGCCGGGCTTGGCGATTTGAGGTTGCTCTGGGAAACGGGGCTCTCGCCGGTCCCGGGTGAAAATGCCGCAGGACACGGGTCAGCGGTTTCACCCCGGCGGGCAGAGGGCTCTGCAGTACAGTCTGTTGAGCCGTCGGTTTGTCTGTCCGGCCTTTCCTGTTGACAATCTTTGACACCTGAAAGAAAACAGAGAGGCCCCAAGAGATTATTAAAGTCTGCTTTTGTCACATGGTAAAAGCCTAGATAATTTTATTATTAGAAGTATAAGATAAATTGTATAAATATTAATACAATTGGTGTCAACGCTGTACTACTGGTTCAAATCAAGGTAATCACGTTATATTACGTTTCTTCTCGAAAGAGCGTCTTCACATGCAATAGAACAAAATAACAGCGGGCCTATGTAATAAAAACACCTGAAGAAGGCTCCACGGCCGAAACGTTGTGTTCTCTTTCTTCTTTTTTTCAGCATGGAATAAACCTATTACTTGTTCCTATGTAATAAAAGTTCGGTAAACGTTCAATACATATAAAACAGAAATCTTAAAATATTCCACAGTTACTTACATGAGCCAAGGGCGTATATCTTAATAGTTTTAAGAAAAGTGGCAAGATTAAAAGAAAAGCAGAGGCATTTAAAAGCATTAAAATTTGCTTTTAATGGTGTATTGGGAACTGTGGAACAGCGAGCGCCGTGGGCCTCAATAAGAACTAATGCGCCTGCGACAAGGCACTATATCTGGTTTGGATCACTAGTTTGCAAATAGCTCTAAATTCAGATACTTAGAACATCTCCCCTTGAGGTTCGGTTCATGGTTTCCAAGCAGGGTGTGGGGGACAAAGCAGGTTTTAGGATAACGACAAAATGTACGCCCGACCTTTAGGCAGCCAACGGAGTTACAAAGCCCATCCAATCGCCCCTTTGTTGTATGCGCCAAGCGTCATAAAAAATGTATGTTTTCAAAATAAAACCGCCCGTTTATTTTCGTGCGTGGTGGAAACAGAACCCAACAGAACTGTTAAATGATTCGTAAATGTTTTCCACGTTTAATAACTGCTGCCTTAACTCGAAAAACACGATAATTTACTGTGAAGTGCCTGGACTAGATTAGCGTGCTCCGGTTTTACGTTCTCCAGCTCGCTGTGTGGCAAGTGCAACACAGCACAGCGATTCCGCAGCGCTATCTTGTGGCACCATGGACGTTTTTTTAGGCAATATATGGCGCCTTTTCAATAATGGCGCGCTAGAATTGACACGAATACTATACATAGGAAAATAAAATCTTACCATTACTTTTCTGTGTATGGTATTCGACTCCGCTTGCGCAGTAAACTCGGCTACGTCTCCCAAGAAATTTAGCAGGGTCCAAAATATCGCTCACAGAAAAAGATACTTTGCTCAGTGGTGGAAGCGTTCCAGACTGCATTCTGCGTATGATTGTAGAAAGATTAGTTTAAAAAGTACATTATGTTTTAAAGAAAACCCGCAGAAATATATATATATAAGTTTAATAACTTATATGTTTAATGAAAAACCGCAGAAGTAAACTCGAAACCCTTTTGACAGCTGAATTGAACTGGCTAGGCACCGCCGACGCGGCCTCCATTTATATTCTTCCCAGCACACGACGCTCGCACTTGTGAAATTAACATGTGTGTTTTCTTAAGAAAGTCCTCGATAATTTATGAACCATGGTGATTACAGGACAAAAAAGCCATTGCAAACAGTAAACCTCATTTAAGATTAAATCTTACTTTGGAAATGCAAACGCTGTAACAGATGATGCACTTTACCTCAGTGGAATTGCCTGAACCCCTGCTTTAAAATGCAAATGTCCTTTCACCGCTGGGGGTGTGCACACTTTCTGCTTTATTATAGAAGATCTGGTTAAAATGTGCCCTTGTTCTTTAGAAGCTTGTACCTTTTTGTTGAACTCCGTGTCATTAATTTGCAATTCTGTGATTTTACGCTGGTAGGACACGTGAAGTGTAGTTGTGATGCAAATGAAATCGCGCAGCATATAATAAACATTGTTGCGCAAATGGTTTTTGTCGTATTTTTTTGTCCGTACAAGAAAAAAAAGTTTCACCGATTAAATTGTATTTGTATTTAAATAGGTTCATTTGTGTTATTTTGATAGATAGGATGTGCCTAAAGTTTGGAGGAGGGGGTCGGGTTCGCGTATAGCATTAATGTTCAATTTAATTCCACCATAACAGACCATTATTTCTAAAGTTAGTGTAGACACCACGCCTTCTAGATTATTACAGCACTTAGTAGGCAATGATGCTGAACACTTCAGTAATACCCGCAAATTACCATTACACTGAATATTTTAGCGGGGGATCCTGCGGATTTCACGATTTCGTGCACGCCACGGAACGATATAGAAAGCTCGGAACTATTTTTCTTCCCAAATGAGTTTTAAAAAAGGTCGGAACAAAGTAAACTGGGACAGGGAGCTCTACTATGATTCCAAATATCCAGGGTGATTTTAGGGCGTACACATAATATATTTCATTTCGTACTTAACATGTATCATAGATTCTCACGGGAGCATAAGGCAGGAACGCGTCAAACCCATACTGATATTATGGCTAACTTGAGTATCAGTAGTACCGGCAAACATTGATTATAAAACTTTTGTGATGCGTGGCTTCCATGGTACTTTAAATGACAAACTGTTATGCTATCGCTTCTTAAACTCTGTATAAACCATTACCCAGAAGAAGTAAACGTCCTGTAGTTCTATAACAATCCTCGTTGCTTACTTTGCCTACTAGCACCATTCGGCACATCAAGGTAGCCCTTTAGATGTAAAGAATACCTTGGATCAATTTTCAGTGGTTTGCTGTACTTAATGACAAGGAACGTGTATTCTCTTGCCGGTAGCCATTTTACTCCTCATGCAGAAGTAAATGTTTCATCCACTGAGAAAAGACTAAATAAAAAAAACAGTCAACCAGATGACCGAGTTAAAATACAGAAAATGTTGTCAAGGAATGTTTTTTAGACTACACTAACCCTTGTTATTAGCTTTAAAGGATATATTGGACCCTTAGAAGTTACTTATTTTAAAAGTTTCCTTTATGTAGTGTACGTTTTGGGTGGATGACTGACTTTGCAGATAAGGAAAACAGTTTAGAAGAGAAGAGGGAATTTTAAAACATTGAGCAGTTTTCCTGAATCTTTCCATTGAACTGCTCAGGTGCCTTTCAGGATATAAAGTGAAGGACATGTGAGGTGAGGCCCGCCTAGCAAGACAATTAGCAGATGTTGGAAGCAGTGGTGACCCTTTACGACCCCGGCTCTCGTCCTGGGGCCCAGTGGGATAGAAGGCTATAGAGAATGAATGGGCAGCTGTCAGGCGTGTGCCTTCTGCCTCTTACAGCGCTTGCCCTTGGAGGGAGGGGTTTTAGTGCATAGAGCTGGGCGCAGTACGTCTCCCTTGGACACTCGGCACACGCACAGGGTGAATGCGTAAGGATAAAGGATTCCAGGTTCTCGCAAGAATTCTTAGATCTTAATGTGATGAGCTAGACCATTCTCAGTTTTTCTCAGATGCGAAAACAGAACGGTTTGTGGAATTCATCTGTTTTGTGGTTTGTATGCCTCTCCAATGACTTGTATACACCTGTTTCTGGATCACCTCTAGCACAAACCACTAATTGCTTGTACTGTATTTCTACCATTGCCTGTCAATAGTATTACATTAGCCTTACAGTCTTGTTCTGCAATCAAATGTGTTTTAACATACTGTGTAAGAACAGAGTTCTAGAGTGGAAATGAAATGGCCAAGAACTATAGTCTTCAAATGTAATTTATTTGTAATGCTTCTCCATACAATGTACAACTGTATATATGTAGCAGTAATGAGTTATAAAATAGATCTTCTACAATTCACACATTAAGGAACAAATTAATATGAAACAAAGTAGACAAAGTAAAATTCAGGGAATATGAAGTTGCTTTGTCTCAATGAATACAATTAATAAGGATCTAGAGAGTAAGCAGACATCCAAGAGAGAAATCAAAAAGCCAAGCAAACAGACTATGCATTGGAGGTGAAAAATAATTCTTAATTAGGGAACTTAAAAGTAAGCATTTTATTTCAAGTCTTGGTAATTTGTCAATATGATTCTGACAGTTTAATTTTTGGTAGCAACAACAGTCAAAAGCTTTTTTGAATTCCTCACTCTAATTAAATGACTTGAGCATAGAAGGCAAACACATCCCGAGACAAAAGTATCATAAATATATATGCCTTTGCTAAGATTATCAAAAGCCCTTTGAACATGGCTTCATTTACATAGATTTGCAGAAGTGTGGATGTGGGCAAACATATCATTTTCACTGTAAGCAGTGAGATTTTACATATATTGTTCCAAATTTATACATGTATTTCCATCTGGAACACTTAAAAATGTACAGGACCTAGCCATGTTGCATATATTTTAATACTTGGTGAAAATTGAAGCGTTGGCAAATTAAAAAAAAACAGCAGCCTAACACATTGTTCCTGTAGGTTAAAGCCACTACACTGCTCAGTCAGTGCCTAACAAAAGGCATGTATGTTTCATTGAAAAGTGAACAATTCAAACAAGCACTCAGCTCCCGTTTGGTCTGAAGTTCTAACAAGTGAGAGGCGAAGCTATTTCATGCTTATGGGTTGTTAGGCTGCAAGAGTATTACTGGTTAACATCAGCAGTGATCCTGGTTCTATATACTGCATATAATTCTTAGTAATTGTGAATGTATAAGATTCTGGTAGAGTTGAGCCAGCACCAAAGCTGCAAAAGCCATTTTGCCGGCCTCATGGCGATTCTGGATTGCTGGAAGAACAATGCCGCTCTGCTCAATCACAAAGGAGTCAAACTACTAAAGAGACTGCATGCTCCTTAACTAGGATATAAGGTGCCATAAATAAGTACATTGCTTTTTTTGGGGGGGGCTAAAGTTTGCATGCAAACCCCAGCAACACCGAGCTTAGCCAGAACCGCGATGCAGCTATTTCATCTTCCTTTGATCCGAGCCCCCTCGCAGCAGAGCTGGATGTGAACCAGATCGAACATAACAGTAGCTGTGCGCCAGAAGTCCAAACCACTGTCAAGGGGATGAAGAAGTAGGGCTTCACGATGCACATGCCACACAGAGCAGGTGCAAACAGCAGTGTTCACCTCCAAAAGACAGCAGCCCATTTCGTGTAACAGACTGAAACGGAGATTCAACTCATCTGAAAACAATTGAAATCTGATGACAGTAGCACTTATGTTGAACAAAAATGTGCACAACACTGCTCATTTCAAAATAAGAACAGTGTGAGAGAGGCCTGAATGTCCCTTATGGAATAAAAACCCTGCCTTGCTGGATTATATTAACTCTAAGGTAGCAGGTAATATATAAAGCACTACAGCACTTGTACTTTTATTAAACAGAGGAAAGTGCTGGTTCAAGTGCAAGGTAAATACAGAAGTATAATGTCCATGTAATAGTCTTCCTTATACAGTAAAGGGCTTTTTCTGTGGATAGTTTAAACTTAGGCTACTTTCATGTTCCCCTTTTCCCCAAAAAGCTTCCTAAGACTGGGGCTGCCAGGGTAAGTAGGTGGTTGCATACACAATCGTAAGGGTCCAATTTGTTGCAATAAAGCAGCAGGGGAGGTACAAATGCTTAACTGCCCCTCAAGTCTGGTGGAATAAACTGAAACACACAGAGATCGTGACCCCTTCTGTTGGACAGACTCCCAGCAGTGCAACGACAATACAACAGACACAGAACAAAGAGAAGCTTCCTTTGCACTGCAGACTTCCATGGTCTAGGGGCTACATGCATTCTACACCAGGGTAATTCACTCATTGGCATACTGCAAACATTTAACTACACTATAAAATAATTAAGCTTTTAACTTTTTTCAAAGAACCATTAAGCATATTTTATGTTAGACACTAGATAACCAGTAAAATAGATCTCTAACTGCATAGCACTTATCAGACAGTACAGGAAGTCAGGAGGATTTTTACAGTGATGTTTACTGCAGTGTTAAATACATTACAGGAGCGTGTCAGTAGTTCCTTGCTTCAATCTCTGACATGTGTAAAAAACTATAGAGATAACTTTGTTTAAAATCATGAGGGTCTGTTACCAAACCCCATTTAACTAACCGTTGTCCTAACTTCCTCAGTCCATCGTATTTGCTTTGCATCTGTCAAGTAAAAGGCCATTCCTTCAGTATCTCACAAAGATTACCCTAGAAGACCTGTAAAACTTTGTGCTCAACTTATTTTGTTTTTCTTAAAAAAATATTAGTTAAGAGTAACCTTTGTCCACAACAGGTTTTGACTGTTACAACAATCCATAAGATTTCAATCCAATTCCACTGTAAAATGAGTCAAATCATTTTGTCTTTAACAGGTTTTGCAAGTGTATCAATTTCCATATGCTATACAGATAGAAGTGCTTTATATTCAAGTTGTTGTACAAATGAGTTGTGATGCATTTTAAACTGTACATGTCCACCAGAGATTTGTCACTGTTTATATACAACAAATAAAACTTTCAGTATTAGATCTGTTTTGCCACAGTGTTATCCAACATACCAATAACTAAATGAAGAAACTGTTGTTGAAATACATGAGTGGTGATCTCACACATACATGGAATTTATTAATAAAACATTCAGCACTCAGCATTCATGCATTCACATTTGTACAATATTCCCTCAGTACAGCCTCACAGCACAAGATTCAAGAAAAAGTTATAAAAAAAACTTGAAATACACTTGTAAAATTTAGTCCAACCAATTTGCTTAATTAGAGGGATCATCATTGTCACGAACTGATATTATGCCTAATCCTCATGATTTTAAGAATAAATAAGCTGGCAAGGTTTCTTGCTATTAATTGTGGTTCTGTTAATTCAATAAAGTTCTGCTTGGTCGGTTTCACCACGTTCCTTTTCAGTGTTTTAGTTTTATCATTAAGTAACTACTGCTAGACCCTTAAAATGAAAAGAACTCAGATTTTGAAAAACAAAACCTAGATATCTAAATTAAACCTTCTGTAAATTTATGTTTCTCAAAAAACAGGATCAATTTATAGCTTTAAATGTAGGCAGAATTAGAACTGAAAACTCTCCTTTGCACTACTACAGCTTTGTGTACATTATCTAAATCATTTAGTATCAATAGTAATTGGGCAACCTAGCCAATATTGTTGCATAAAATTAAGATCAAATTAAAAAATTTACAAGGATCACTCTACACCTATTTTATCCAGTGCTGTCAATTTTGTGTCCTGAAAGAATGAAAGCTATAATTTGTTTGCATGCTGAAAAGGTCTAAATTACCTGTTTTGTCTGAGCTGTAGTGTTCCCAAACGTAAAGTGCAGCAGGTTCTTTGTCAAGGGTGACGATTAATCTAACAGCCACAATACTGAATGATTAATCTCTTTTCATACCTAAAGATTGTGTCAAAATCATGGCTCATTGTCATATCAAGTAATGCACATTTTTATTTTATGGGGTAAACAGGATAAACAAGAGAAGAAAACGACTAGCTTTAATTCTCTGACTAACCACCAGGTTAAATCTGGTGTTTATTAGTGTCCTACCATTATAAACAAAGTGTAACTGGTAACATAAGCCAAATGCCACTGAAACCTGAGTTTACAAAATCCTGTGGTCAGGGGTATACAGAACAAAGCACATGGATTACAGCTACTTGTAAAAGGGTGGCTGCATGGTTATGTCACCAATATTTAAACACATTTAAACTCGCAGCATGAAGCAGTAGCTGGAAAGCACAAATGAAAATACAGCAGGGATCTACTGACCAGGTGAATACTTCACATCCTGAGCAACAGCACTACCTACGGCTAGCACAGAGAATACTGCCAAGATTGAGCGCAATGGAAGGAACAATTCACAAAGCCTTTTGCAACAGGAAGTGCACATGTTCAAGTGTAACCTCAACATTTCATGATGGGAGAAAAAAAAATAGCAAGAGGATAAAATAATAATTTAATGCAAATTAAAGGTAAGTTCTAAAATTACTCAAGTCTGAAGTTTAATCATTTAATTTTATCTCCAGTCAAAAGGCTTAGTAAACCGTTTGCTCTTGTTATTGGGAAGCTTTGTGGAGATTAGCTTGAGACAGCATGGCAACATCAGTCTGAAAAGATCAGCTGTTTTGCACCTGCACCTATTTCAACCTAGTTTTAAAACATTTATTTGAAAACATTTTTAATGTCTGGATGGTATTTAAATGAGGCAAATGACAGTGCTGTACCCAGTGGTGCTGAGACTATTTCAGACAATCTGAAGCACCTTAGAATCGCAAACCACTACAAAACTCTACTCAGCATCAAGTTATAATGTTATGATCACTCCAAAGTGTCAGTATATTCCTGAACTCCATACATCCCTACCTCTGCGGATGGAAAAGGGTTCCCACACTCCCTTTAGGCTAATCTTCAGGGATACTTTAACCAGTTATCTGTCAAAACACTACCATATCAGCACATTTTAATCCCTCACAACCAAACGATCTTCTCCTTTTATAGCTGAAGACACATTACTCCTTATTACAGATGTCCTGATGATCTTAATCTTGGCTGTTTGAGGTTAATGCTTCAAATTTGGTTGCCCATCTCAATGACATTCTTTCACACAGCCATAACCAACAAAGTCCTTTTATCACATTTTAAATATGAACCTACATATTTGCGATGTTTGCCATCACCTTCCAGAATCAGTAATGTAAAACAAGCTTTTTAAGGAGCTTTCCTCATTGGTTCAATACAAGAAATGACACATTTGTACCAGCTGCATTGTGAATACAAATGAGAGAAGCCTTCCAGGTCGTGTGGGAGCCCTTTAGCACAGCCTCTCTCAAGCCCTCAGTTCACCCTGCCGTCAGTGCTGCTGTGTGGAAAACGTTTGGTGATAATGAAGCGTTACTGACATCTCCTGACCGGTCTGGGTCCCTCTCCACCTGTGAGCATGTCCTATTAGATGAGCCGGGCCTCTCCTTCCATCTCGGGTGGAAGTTCGCACACCCCGATGAAGTTCATTTCCTTGCCACTGGACCGCGTTGCAGAGGGGCCCAACTGCGAAGACCTGGGAGAGGGGTTTTGGGAGGGGGTCTCGGGTACCAGGCCGCCACCCCCGGCCCGGCGCTCGTGCAAAAACCCCTCCAGACGCCGCAAGAGCTGTTTTGGATTTTTCTTGGCAAACATTTCCACTTCTGCAATGGAAAGACAATGTGGGGATTCGGATGAGCTGTTCTAGGAAATGGTGTCCGAGAAGACAAGCTGAGGGAACCGTTAGTGTGGCTTTGAATAAAGCATAACCTATCAAAACAAGCAAAAGTTAAAAGCTACGATATGTAGGACTGAAAAATGTTTACAAGAAGAGTTGAGCAAGTCTGGAATAAACTTCAGAGTTATGCAGTTGTAGCTGACTGTAGAGGATCATTTAAGAAGCAGCTGAAGGACATTCAAGGATCATGAGCTAATCACACAATAAGGACCGACTAAATGTTTTTCTGAATGTTCTTATACATATTTGACAATGTACTGCTAAATGAAATGAGCTGTTGAGAAAATTAACAACAACTTGGACAAAAGCTCTGGGCGTCTAACACCAGACTGAGGATGCCTTCTCCATCATTACCTTTCAGTACAAAGCCAGAATCAGAGATGGTTTTGCACTGCGTCTTCCAGATCTGGTACAGTTGCAGGAACGTGGCGACGTAGAAGTCATTAAGCACCCCAACCACCTGCTGCCTGCGATTGCATTCCCTAAAAACAACAGAATCAGTAACCACTCCCACATACTCTTCAGCTGCACAAAATGCATTTAATCTCTTATTCACAATGAATTTTAAAATCCTCGTTTTCTGACGGACACTCCAGCTCCCATGTGGACATGTACTCCAAGGTCATCTAAACCGTACAAAGGAACAAGTAAAGGTTTATTCCATGCCAAATAAAAACAACGTTTTGGCTGTGGAGCCTTCTTCAGTTTGTGTGTCTTTTCTTCTTTTCAGCATGGAATAAACCTTTACTTGCTCCTTTGCAGCCTACGCACGCTGACACAGCTACCTACTTAACAAAGACAGGCTCTTTCAGTTAATGTGTCTTGTCTTAGACACTCTGCAGAGCATCAAAGAATCCAAGACATCCAACATGAGACTAAAGACACCTTCTCTACCTTTCATTTTTATTTACTAGTTATATTTTAAAAAATCCTGCTTGCAGGAAGGAAAGTGTATAAATTAAGATTTCACCTTACCATACAACAGTAGCAAATGACATTCTGCTACAATACGTTTTAATCAGGCAGGTTACCTGCACTACTTACTTAGTGAGGCACTCGTCTCGTAGGGCATGGAGGGCAATGCGAGTAATATTAATAGACATCAAACAGAAGGGGAAATTCTGTAAAACAAGTAGTACACAGTTAAAAGGACTGCGTCAGTCTGTTCCTTTTGATTTTGACTAAGATCCAGTTCTGAGCCTCTACTTTGTAAGAACGAATGAAAACTTGTTCACCTTTTTGGACAGTGTTCGGGGTAAACATATGACTGCTGACCTGAGTAGTATGCTGGGAGAGCTTGTAGATGTCTCGAGCCAGCTGGAGTGTCTCAGGGTCCATGACAAGGTACAGCGTGTGCATCAATCCCAGGAAGCCAGTTCCTCTCAGGTCCGTGGCAGGGTCTGTGCCTGTTCCACACATACACACACAGCGAGGAAACACCAAAAAAAGAGATCTAAAAGAAGTTGCACCACTGATTATTAGAGACTGTCCCATCATGATAGCACCTGGTCATGAAACTTATTAAAGCGGAGACTGGAAAACCACCAGCACATATCTTAAATCTGTGCACAGAATCCCAACAGTCCCTCAAGAAGCAGAAGCCCCTCCAGGGAAAATAGGTTACTTCAAAATCTGCTTACCCTGGAATCCCAGCGCCTCCCAGTGTGGCCCATAGCGAGGGCAGTCCACACGGCTGCCAGTGAGCCTCTTGTAGATAGTCTGCAGCACTCGTGTGTGTACCTTCTGGCTGTTATCCAGAGAGCCTGCAGAATGCAAAGCCAGATCACAACACTAGGAAACTCTTCTTTCCTGGAGACATGCTGGACCTACAGGTTTTCCATTCATAAAATGGGGACAGGACAAGCCATCCCCAGCACTCCTGACCATTAGGAGGCTTTAGAATGAAGAAGAGCAGGGCAGTGCTTACAATGGCTGAGGCTCTATGACCAAAGACATTGACAGGGCAACTTTAACTGCTACCCAGTTTAACTACCTTAAAGTAAAGTCACTCTGTGTCTGCATTTCACGTATTGCAGGCTTCATGGTTTATGTGATCCAGAAATACATTATACCCCCTTGACTACTATATCTTAAAAACAGTTTTCCTGAATCAGGTATTCCGGGAGTACTGAGGACAGAGTACTCTGAGGGCAAATGAGAAACAGATGGCTGAGTGCCCAGAGCCTGTATGCTGAGGTAGTGTGGAGTAGACTAAATACACCTTAGGCAAAGTGGCGTTGATGTGCAGGTAGGACAAAAAGAGATGGGCATTTGTACAGGACGTCAGTCACAAAAACAAAGCACGGGATATCTTGGGTGGGATGGGATATGCAGTGAAAGGCTGTTATTCGCTGGCCCTGTAGCAGCAAGCACTCACACTGTGCGATGGCAAACACCAGATCCCTCTCCTGCAGCAGCTCACGGTGCAGTCTGGGCGGGCCAAACAGGAAGTGTGTGATGGCGGCGAGGCCTGTACGTCGCACTGTGGGCTGGATGTTCTTCTGAAGGGGGATTGGGCAGAGAAATATTATCCTTTTAAAAGCTCGTTTGGTTTTAATATAACAAACAATATCTTCTTTTAAATTTTAAAGTCCCGAGCATTCTTTTTTTTTTTTTTTAATATGAAGCTGACAAATACTTCATCACAAACCTCCTAGCTTTGCCAGGGAAAGTCCCACTAAAAGTTGGACCTCTTTTTTTTTTTTTGAGTGTCAGTCCATGAGGTGTTAAGAGGGTCTCTGTGAACTCTGTACATTCTTTTTCTGCTGAAGTTGCAGTATTTTATGAGGTGGACATTCAGAACTGGAACAGAATGCTGGATACAAGGGCTACTACTATACACATTTTATACTGTGTTATATAAAGTAGGAACACATTCTATGAAATTAATTAACCAATTGTGTTAAAAGAAGTTACATTTGGAAATAGATGAGCGTGATCTCGGAAGACTGCCAATCTGATAAGCCCAGAAAAGCACAATAGATAAAAGAGAAATATTTAAGGACTGTTCTAAGGTTGCTAGTAAATAAGTGATCTGAGGACCTCAAACAAATGCTTCTTGAAAGAGTTTGATATTCTGCAATAACAATGCGTGTTAACATTCCAGTTGCCTTTATTTTTTTCTCTCACATTAAATAGATAAAGACGATGTGGCAACAATCCTCTCCATCAGACCAGGCGTGCCGTTTACAACTTACCATGTACTCCGAAAGGTCTGTGGTCTGGAAATGCTGCAGTGCCTCATTGAAGGAAATCAGGGGTGTGTGACCAGTTGAGTCCTCTGAAAAAGCTGCAGGGAGATGAAAAAAGCTAGAAACACCCAGAGGTCTCTCTTTTCTGAGAAGCCTAACCCCTATACATTGGCACTGCCTGTTACTGGAGAAACATGAAAAAGTCTGCTGTACAAACAGAAAAGGAAAGAAAAAACTGTCTGTTTTTCTTTCTGCAAGCTTAGAATTTAAGGTCCTGCAGAGAAGATGATGGATTTATCCGTAACATGCACACGAGGCTGGAAGCTCACCTGGCTGTATGCACTCCAGGGCCTCCCATTGCTCCTGGGCCTGTAGGATCTCTGGGCTCACCTCTGTGATAAAAAACAGCTGTGAGGAGAACCCGCTGAGCCACCTGCTCATTCAACACGAGATCCAGCGACCAAGGGGTACTGCAGGACAAGGGCTAGGAGCAGCCCGGCCAGAGAAGCTGTGAGAGGAGTGAGCCAAAGCAACTGGATTAAACTGCAAAAAGAGTCCAGCACTGACAACCAGCAATATTAGCTAAGCTCCCCTTGTGTGTCAACCTCAAACGCAGGCTGGTAACCAAGGCAAAAGGCTCACTCTTTGGGGAATAGGCAAAGCATGTGTGCTCACTGGCTCTCATCCATCTTTATCGTCCTCGTACAACTGTGTTTAACTCCGTGCATGCCTGGTCCAAGGGAAATCTGCAGCTACAAGGTGTTATTTATGAGTAGTTTCACTGCAGAAAAGCATATCAGTTCCAAGGTACATTTGGGGTACTTGTCATTTCACTTCATCAATTCTAGTTTGCTTCAGAGAAAAACATACCTTCTTTCTCATGGTTCTCCCTTCCAGCTGTGAGAGACTGCAATAGGCCATTCTGCTTCAAAGCTGAAATCTAAAAAACAAAACAAATAGAGCATTCTCAAACACATTCTTTTGGCCTTCTGACTCTTAACACACAAAACTGTTTGTGGCTAAAAAAATATATAAAATCAGGGTCCTTTATGACATACTAACGCACTGGAAATTGTTTTAATCTTGATCTCTCAAACCAGAAAGAGATGATTGGTCATTTCATACAATATCTAGCCATGTGCTTTTTGTGTAAGTCAAGGTCTTAATTTTCCCCAAATAATTGTGGACAAGCAACTCACTCCTCAATAAATGAATTTGGTCATGATAAAGGGCCAGAGCACCCGGTCTAGGCTACAAGATCTGAACATGCAAAAGGTGAACTATGAACAAAACCGTTCATGTGCCTGATGTATAAGGTACTGTACAAAGTACTGAAAACTAGAGTAATTAGATTCTTTCACACTCTACCTAACATTTGTGTTCATAACAAGTAAAAATACTTTAATACTTCTTTACATTCTTAAATTTGACAACAGCATTCATTTCTAGAACAGTAACAGATACAGGTGTTGTTACTCCTTGGCTCATTTTCAATAACAAACCCAATGACCAATTCTTATGTTTGTGTGTTTTATCAACCAAAAGACAATAGAAACTGGCAACAGGCACTTTTGTTTTCTGAGAGCTTCTTTACATTACAGTAAAGTACATTACAGTACTTTACATTCTTTACAAGCATGCTATATTTCAACCCATGGGGAGCACCCGCATACTCACTGGCACCGATTTGAGTGCTGAGCTCCCATTGACTTGATCCTTAGGGTTGTGACACTCTGATGTAATCCCATTCGTACCCTGTGGAAAACCACACAAAAAAATGGAGACCACTGTAAAGGCCTAACCCACAAAAACCAGGGGCAAACACTTCAAAACTCCAACCCTTCCAGTTCATAACTGGTGTTAATCAGTGAATGGTCAACAACAGCTATGAAAAAGGTTTATTCCATATTGAAAGGAAAAGAAAAGAGAAAGCGTTTTAGCTGTTGAGACACAGCTGAAATGTTTTCTTTGCTTTTCAGCATGGAATAAATCTTTATCTGCTCCTGTGCAGCCTATGCATGCTGACACAGCGACTGTACCTACTTGAACTTCGTGAAACAATCAATACAGGAAACATTCATCCGTAGGATGAAATCGGCAGGAACAACTACTGTAGCCTTTGCAAAACCTACGGGATCATATTTCGAAACTGAAAGCCTGTGTTCCTAGCTTTAATAATCTCTGAAGATATTCATTACTGATACTCACAGTTTTATGAGCAGAGCAACCATTGGTTAAATCTGGTTTGCTTTCCTGAGGTACCCCATTAGAACCCTGAAAAAGGAGATGGACAAAAAAAGCAAACTATTACCGTACATCTTACTCAGATAGAGGAGGATGTTTGCCACACAGGTCACCGCAAACCATTTTTTGTAATTGTGCTGTACACACATACAGTAAATACATTGGAGTTTAATTCATTTCAGTTTTTGCAACTGCAGGCTCTTTAGACAACATTTTGAGTAACTGTGCATACACAGGCACACAAGAAAATAAAATCAAATACATTTGCATTTCTGCTTCAGTGATACAAAATGTACCGTTGTCTGTAGTTTCTTATAAACTAACAGGGCAAAAATCACTGATTTTAAAGGCGGTTTTAAGGTCTTACCTGGATACTCTTAATAATGTACAGAAAACATGATTTGTGGCCATAAATGCACTTTGAAAGCGAATGACTTGCCTATGAGTCTGACAGGGATGTGGCGAGAAAATGAGAACTGCTGAGTAAATATGAAAACCATCTACTCCACACAGCACAGAGAGAAGTGCAGATAAAGAACTTTCCGGACAGTTATTATCAGACCAAGGCAGAATCTATAACTATATCCAAATAGTTTGTCTACAAACTTCCTTTGAGTGTCCAAAACTATTGATGGCCAGAATTAGATTACAAATCTTCGTTGGGAGTTCATGAAATGCAAAGCAATACTGCCCAGTCAAAGACATCACCCATGTTAATGCAGTTACACAAAATTTTTGTGGGATCAAAAGTACCACTCTCAAGTCCTGCAGTAGCCTTTTCCATGCTGTATAAACCGAGACCCTGGAGATCCCCAGTGGGGCTTCCGATCAAGGGCACACAATACATACCTCCTCTTTTATGATGCCAGCAATATCCCCTTCCATGACATCCACCTGCAATGCTGGACCAACTTCTCTCTGGCTATAGCCCCTCTGCCCAGTCCCTGAAAGCTTTAGCACAAACTAAGAGGTCTCCAACAGCAGCCAATGTACAACACAGCTACTGCCATGAGGACACGCATAGTGTTTAAAATGAAGAGTCCATTTAAGATAACAATAATGCATATAATGGCAGTGCACCAAAAACCAAAAGAAAGGGAGAAATGGAAAACATGAGGCAGTAAACTCAAATGTTTGCAAGAACGAAGACACAAGGGGTAAAAAGCCCCAACAAAACAGTTCTTTGTGGCCAATTTCAAACTTTCAAAAACATGGAATCAAGTCATTGGATCAATTCATCCACACTGAAGCTCTGGATTCCAAGACAAGGGCAGCAATTTCTTTCTTACACAAAACCGGATTTTTATTTATTTTATTTTTTCCCTGCTCTTGATGCGTCAAGGTGACTGAGCAACAAACAGCGATGAATCTAGCCGACTCCTCTTCTGGTCGAGAAGCAGGGGCTAGAAAATGAACGGATCGATTATGGGAGTCTGTCATCAGCACACAACTTGCGCACGAGCAGCCCAGCTGTCTTCTTCAGCGGCCCCCCCATCAGCAAGACCGCCCTTCCTCCGGAGAACGAGGTGGCAGGCAAGAGAAACGGGCTCTGCCAGCCTCGCGTGGCATCACGCTGGCGCCCGCCGCCGTGCAACGCTCGGGAACCGGACCACTTCAACGGCAGCGGACAGTCGGACACGGACCTGCTGGAAACATGCCCATAACCTTAGCGTGTCCCGCTTTGTTGCATTGGGCTTTCGAATAAGCTACTGGGGTCCACCATGGAACATGGCAGATGATGGCCCAGAGACACGTTTGTATAGTGACCACAGTTCAGGCCAGTGGCCACACCAGGAGAGGAGTAAGCAATCACCCAGGCGACAGGGGCCTACATCGGCCCCCCACAATTCTGCCGTGCAGTATTTGAGGGGAAGGATTTGTCAACCACTGGAAACTACGGTCTGGGGAGCAGCATTGCAGAGCCTAGCGAATGTGGGGCCAGTAAGGTATTCCAGCTCCTCCTCTTCAATGGAGACCGGGCCTCTCTTGGCAGATTTAAGTGAACAACTGAGTGTCTGTTGCTTGGTGCTGTAAATCTTAATTCTCTCCCCCACAAGTGCCAGGAGCTAGAGAGGAAAGACAATAGGAATCATTACAAGTGACAACCTACCTGTCAGGTGCACTTTTGCATCCTACCGTAACCCACATCACATAGACTACTTCAGACAAAGATAGTCCCACTGATTATGCAACAGGTGAGATAACATTGGACACCAAATAGTCAATTGGCTCTGTTTCGGCAGAAAAAAAGAAAACTTAACGACAATCGTCGCAAGAATACCCAACATGTAATGGTGTGCATTAAATCCACAGATACAGTATATAATGCATACAATGAGAATGAAATAAGCGTTAAACTGGCCATTCTTTCTTTAAGATATAACAGCTTCAGCTTTGCTTTACTAAAAAAAAAGTTCCAGTTATCAGGGCAACTTAAGAAGAACAGTATTATTTTCTAGTATTTTTTTACTAGTTAAAATAAAGCAACAACAACTTCAACAATTTACACTGGACCAGAAACATTCTATGAAAAATCATAAATATACATATAGACTACTAAGAAATTATAACCTCATTATAATTATAACCTCAACGAAAGCTGTCCCAAATAATAACAAGAGCATTTGTTTGTTTAACTTACTAGGCACAAATACAATTATTTTAAATGGTGTATTTTAAAAATTAAAAAATAATGCTGATGAAAGAATTAAATAATTATTTTTTTAAAATAAAAAAACATTTTCTTCTTGTGTATTCTGTATAACCAGCTTTAACGCGCAATAAGTTTTCATTGATGCCACTAAAAACCCTTAACTTAAAAGCTTGCTGCATAAATTATATATTACTGAGTTTTTGCGCCTGCGACTCCATTAATTGTAAATACAGTGTTACTAAACGGTTTTACACATTAAGTGAATAAAACAATTAAAAAATATATTTCAAAAGTAAAATAAAACAGTCGGCATTTTAATACACACTGTACAGCTGACTATAACGTAGAACAATTCTCTCAAAACCCCTTTCACTCTGTGCAACTCCTCGTACATTTTTTCAGAAAGTTTGTAAATCAAGTTACCAATGTAATACTATTAATTCTTGTTCTAAACACATCACTTGCATTAGCGGATACAATTATAAATCTCAGTTTTTTATTTTTACCTCAGTTTCACTCTCTCCAATCTCGGCTTCCCTTCCCCCTCTAAGTTACTAAAACTCTGCCGAAACGTGAGATGGAAATTGTAGTCTTTACATCCTTCGGCTTCCCACTCTAATAGTGACCTTCCCACCGTACTTATAAACTGCGTTACCCAAAAACCCCCGGGAGCAAGTGCTGAGCTGCTGCGGATTTACGCTGCACTATGGGTATTGTAGTGTTAATGATCAGTACATGCCAGTCACATTACAGAACATTAAAACAACAACTTCCGTCAGCCTTTTAAACACCCAGTCGAAAGAGTTCTGTAACGGGAAGCAAAGGTGGTCAATTCACTTTTTTGTAGGCTTGATATAGGAGAAAACAGCTTCAGGTATTTTAAACCTGTTTTAATTATGGATCAAAACATTTTTGGTATTGATCAATAAATGAGATCTACTTAATGACATCACATATTTTTCCTATTACTAATGTATTTGAATGAGAAAACGTACAAATATAACAGTGGATGTTCTTTCAATGCTTCAAACGTTTCAACTTTTGCCATTCATTTTTAAAAATCACGAATATGAAACTGCTTTATTACATAATGCGAACGTGCGCTGCTATTTTGGTTTCTTTGCCGGTTTCCAATACCAAAGCTGCGATTTTAAAATGTGAACATAAAATGTGGCAATATGAGAAGAAATATGTTTTATACTTCTGAAAAAATGTATATTAAAACATCGCGAGATTTGAGTGGCGTACTCTCGTGGGAGAAAGTCGGTGTTTTGAAAATGGCGACCGAAGGAGAGGCGGTTGGTGTGCCTACTGCTGGATCAGAGGTTGTAGAAGGGTGAGCCTTTCTGTATGCGAAGGATAATAACGTTGTGGGCTTAAATATGTATCATCCTAGTAGTGATCTTATTTGGGGGGGGGATAGATGATTTACAGTGACTCAACTATTGACTTTGGGATTCAGAAATCGCTGAAATATCCATGCTGGTTAGTGGCTGTGTTTGAATGAAAATAATCCGAGCAACGAGTTTTATTCTCAAGCAAAGTGTTAAATGCAGTTAGCTTTCCGTCATTGGCGATTTGTGTAAGTTATAGATTATGTTCTTCTGTTTCTTTTCATCATGCATCTTGACAAAATGGGATCAATGTCTTCATGTCAAGAAGATGTCCATTGGACTGTTAACATTACAGCATGCAAACACCAGGGGAACTTCAATTTCAATCAACTAAATTGACATTGTGACGAATCTTGTGTAGAACATGAAATCCAGCACGAGAAGCAGTCGATGCGAGGCTAGGAGATAAAACATTTTTCTTTCCCCATGAAGTGCTGATATTGACGCGTTGCGTGTGAAACTGTGACTGCACCGTATTTAATCTACCCTGAGAGGTGTACCCTTGTGCTGGGTAACATCTGTGGGTCTTTTTTTACGCGGAGGGTGGTAGAAAACGGATATCTCTGTCAGTAAACGATAAAAGATGAGCAAGGGTTAATAATAAGCTTTGTTTTCATTTCAAATATACCGTGCCTTTTCAGTGCAAGGAAAGCGCCATAAAAGAAGCGGAAGCCCCCGTGCAGAACCAATCAAGCTCGGGTTAAGATATTATTTGTCCAATGATCCCTTAACAGAATAGTCTGTTAGAAGTATTGCATTATTCTATGGCACTGTCTTATTGTAGCATGTTGTATGAACAGTAAATAATAGCACATTTAGCAATAGACTGCTCCAGCTGCGGTGTCCAAGGGAACGTTTCCGCAGGTCTTTCCTCCCGGCGGCTGTCAGGGTGTATAACGCTGCCCTTGGCTAGGACTGTTAGCCCTTCGTTTACTCCTCTATGGACAGCATGTTTACTCCATTGTACTTTTTGGACAGTCTGTATAAACCTCTGCACATTTTGCACATATTTTATTGTTTTACAGTGACTATGATCAGCACATTTTGCACACACCCATGTATTTATTTTTATTTATCTTGTTGTCTTTTGTTTTATAACTATTCTGATGTCTGTTTTGTGTGTCTTGAGCTGGACTGCTGTAACACATCAATTTCCCTATGGGATTAATAAAGTATTATCTATCTATCTAATAAAAACAAACCTTCTTTAAGACCCAAACAAAGGATTCTTGTTTCTTGGATTTGCAACCAGCAGTCTAGAGGCCTTCACAGGTTCTTGGAGACCTGAAAACCTTTTTAAACCTTTTTCCCCTTGTCAGGTAATTTGCACAATCAGTACACTTAAACAGCAGGCTTGTTCCAACGATACTCACAGCTGTTAACATGTAATTTTAGTCTTAATATTTTTATTATTAAGTGTAGAATTAGAGACTTTAATTTCTCACCGCAGGTATCCTAGGCCGCTTTCTGGTGGAGTACTCTGTGATAACTTCAGCTTTTTTTCTTACAGCGATGCTTCATTTGGAGACTTGGGAACAGCAATGGACACAGAATCCACCAATGGAAAAGAAGCAATGGTATTTTTATACAGTTGAAATCTGTTGCATGGTATTGCTTGTCCATATGAAGTTACTTTTTGAAGGTTGTGTTTGAAAAAAGTCGCTTTAGGGTTTGTTGTGAAGGGGGTAGCTGCAGTGTCTAAGAGCACTATGCAACACGCGGGCAGCAGCAGTTGACCTTTTTAAAATCTGTCAACCTTCCAGGCTGTAAATTGCTCAGATGACTAAGATTAAAAAAAATGCAATAAGCATTTCATTCAAAAGTCATTTTAAAAATGGCAGTTTTATTTTACAAAAAAATGTGAGAGAAGTCCGGAGATTTTATTTTAACCTTATAAAATGGGGCAGTCCAAGGTCTCGTTTTCTGATCAGATGTGGTGTTTCAGGGTGTAGAGGTTTTGATTTGATATGGAGGATACAGGGCCAGTGTAAAGCTGTGCTCCATACCAGTTTTCAAAGCATAAGGTGAATTCTTTAAAAATTGGTTAACACAGTCCATACAGAACAAAGTTAGACCGTAGCTCTGCTTTCTCTGTGGGGTTTGAGGTCCACTGTGTTGCAGGAAGGTGACCTTGCTGTTCTTCTGCCTTGTTCAGGAAGCTGCGGGAGATGGCTCGGAGCCCCTGGAGGCTCAGGCGGGCTCTGTGGACGAGGAGAACGGGAGGCAGCTGGGGGAGGTGGAGCTGCAGTGTGCTCTCTGTATGAAGTGGTTCACAGCCGACACCTTTGGCATTGACACTGCGTATGTGAGGTTTTTCTATTTCCTGGTGATGATAGCGCATTAGGGCATGTTCAGCGGTACTGAACACTCATGATCATCATCACCACCACCACCATCATCTTCAGCATTGCAATACCCAGCTGCCGATTCATCAGTTTATTTGCTTTTAACTTGGTTCAGCTTTCTGTATGAACGAAAAAGGGGATGGGATCATCCAAACCTTTCAGACATTCTTACAGTTGTTCACCATGACAAACCCCCGGTGCACTTTGTCGAATAGGCCTCTTTCTAAAGCTTGGGCACACTTGTAAGTTAGTTATGGCTATCCCAAGCAATATCTGTTGCATTAAGAGAATTCTGATTCGTTAGGGCTGAAGGATAATAATACTTTGACCCTAACGTATTTCTTGATTGATTGACCTCTAAATCCTGCTGGATTAATGCTCTGTGATCAGATTTGGGGACTATTATCCATGACTTTAGATCAAGAGGGTCACCCATTTAAGTGAGTATATAAATAGTTAATTTATTCCCAACTTTGAGAAATTTGAATATTGAATGGTTATTTGTAAAACCTGCTGTATGGACTCTGTCCAGAAATGCAGTTGGACCCCTGCTTTATAACTGTATGTTTAAACCTCAATAGTATTATTTTTAGATGTGTGTGTTATAGTGAGATGGGCTGCACTTGGCTAGATATACAAGGGCAGACAGTGAAATCATCGCTTAGTCTTAGCTGAAAGGCTGAGTTTTTTATCTTTTCAAACTGTAGAGTCAGCAGGCTACATAGTAATATTGATATGCAACTATGGGCCAGTTTATGAGCATGGCTTCCACCCTGGTTTTGGATTTTTGGATTTTCCCTGTAACTATTCATTGCCAGTGTAATGATTCTTCTTGTTCCCAGCAGAGGAGCGGTGTGTGATGACAGCTGGTCATGTTTTGTCTATGACATCTGTAGTGTGTTTTTTAATCAAAAGGAATTTGGAACTCCTGTTGTTGTATGTGCTTCTTGTTGTTTTATGGTGTGCTTCAGAAAAAAACGCTGTGTGTTCATTCTTGTAGGACCTGCCTCCCATTCATGACCAACTATGTGTTCCACTGCAATGTCTGCCATCACAGTGGGAATACCTACTTTCTGAGGAAACAAGCCAGTAAGTTATCTAGGCATTTCAAATATCTTTAATGTAGATTCTAAAGTGCTGGAATAAACCAGTTTTTTTACATTTTCGTGTCTGCCGTAGAATAATATGCTCATTTAGATATGTTTGCAAGAAGTGATAAAAGAGATAGGCTTAGTACCTACGAGGTGGTGTGTTGTGCATCCAGTGAAATTGCATAGTCCTTGCTATAAAAAGTGCTTTTGATTTTGTCAGCTGTACAGAAAATGCAGTATTCTGTGAGATGTAATGACTTATGAGCAATGATGTTTCCTCTTTGAATTTGGGTACATCTTTGTAAATGTTCATGGAAATATTGAATGTTTTTCCATTAAAACAAGTTGAAAGGAAGGGTAAGGAATCTTGCAGATGGGGTTCAGAGTTAAAAAATATTGCACAACTGCCCTGGTTTCAAAATCATCCAGTCCTTTTACATATGTGCAATAGCGTGAAAATCAGGTAAAATTTAAAGGAATTATCTCGGAATACGATAGTTGCAGCAGCAACAAACCTACAAGGGAATACCACAACTAAATTGTGTAAATGCACTGTTCCATAGGTGTGATTACCTTTCTAGATCATGCTAACCTTATCCACAAAAGCTGATGCTTTCTTTTGCTCCCTGTATTGTGTTTTTATGATGTTAAAGTGATTGTGATTGGTTAATAACTCATTTGTGGTCCATAGATCTAAAAGAGATGTGCCTTACTGCTCTGGCCAATTTGACATGGCGATCACGGACCCAGGATGAGCATCCGAAGACCATGTTCTCGAAAGACAAGGTGAGTTCATGAAGCCAGAGTGAAACTGAATGTGAACTGTTGACATCAGACAGCTTCTGCCTCTTTCGTGTCCCAGTGTGTTAACATCTTAGAGATTCCCAGAGAGCCCCACTCCCTCTCCTTCAAGTTTTCATTCAGTGCTAAAGATTGCCCTGTTGTGCCAACGAAAAATGTACAATTGAGTAACAATGATCTTGGATTGAAAAAAGATTAGAGTACCCTTTAGCTCTAAAGAAGCAGGATTGGATATTCCTGCTTGAGGATTACGTGCGCTTGTATGGTTTATTGGTGAACACTCAATGAATTGGGTTATGGAAGACATGAACTGATTCTCATAACTGGTTAAGGAGTTTTCCAGTTATTTAGCGTGTTAATTTTTGGACACGCTTCTTTCAGTGTTGTGAATGATTCTCTTTACTCACAAGTTAGTTTTCACTTATTTGTGTATTTGCAAGCTGTTTCAGCATGTTTTAAAGATTTCTCAAACCTAGCTTTCATCAGATATGCAAAGGGGTGAAACTGGTGTTGTGCTTCTCCCTTCCCCATCACCTCTTTAAGAAATTAAACTATTTTCAGGAGTGTTAATGTTTGCTAATTGAGTTCTATTTTATTGTTCACTGTAGGATATAATTCCTTTTATTGATAAGTACTGGGAATGTATGACCACGAGGCAGAGACCTGGCAAATTGACATGGCCAAATAATATTGTGAAGACCATGGTAAGTTAATAAGTACTAATCCCAATCAATTTCTTGTTTTATTGCTAAGCGCTGAATACAAAAAAAGTTAACATCATGCGCTCGGCAGCTATTTTTTGGGGGGGGGGTCTAGACAATCTCATCTGTGTGGCAAATAGAAAATAGAGGGAAACAAGGCTGATTGGGATCATTTTAATTGAGATTATTTCTTTTTACTTCAGAGTAAAGAAAGAGATGTTTTCCTGGTTAAAGAACATCCTGATCCTGGGAGCAAGGATCCTGAAGAGGACTACCCAAAGTTTGGGTTGCTTGACCAGGTAGTGTATTTTAAATGTTTCATTTATTATTTTTTTTAACTCCAAATGAAATGCAATACTTTTTGATAACTTCCTGCTTTCCCTAAAGGTGTAGTATGTTTTAATTGGCTGAAGTGCTTTAGCGTTATAAAAAATCTTCTGCTCTATATTTTGAAAATGCAGAATTCTGGCACATAACACTATAGTGTATGATATGTCAATGTATTGAGTTTTTCACATAGTCACATCCTATTTTCTGAGGAATGTTTGATTGGACAGCTTTACCAGACTGAAATATAGCAATGTGCATTGTAACACTTTGCCACGTGGTTTGGTTTTCCTGCACCAAACAATTCTTGAGTGGTGCTGTGGCCATGTAGCCAGGGCAGTGCAGATTCCACAACCTCTTCGGTATCATCAAAACCAGAAGTTCATGATTTTTCTCAGCGACTGTTCAAATGGTACTGTGATGTGAGTGCTAAAAATGTCACCCTTATTCTGAAGTCTGTTAATTCAAGTCCTCAGTCTGGTTGCTTTGTTGTCGTTCTAGTTCATCTGTGGTATCCCCAGTGCATAGTTCCATGGTACAGTTTGTCTGAGGTGCGGTCTTTTGTGGGAGATCCTTTCATTTCTTCCAGTAGCAATCCCACTTCATGCACGAGAAATTAGACTTGACAAAGACAACTTTTGAAATCATCAATGCAAGTATCTTTTAAATGCCTTGTATGTAGTTGGATGTATTCTTCTGAATTCTTTATTATGGGCACTTTCTGCAGGATCTTGGAACCATTGGACCATCCTATGACAACCAAAAACAAACTACTTCTGTAACAACCGGGGGAGGACTGAATGGTCAGTGTGTTTTTGAGTAACATTTTTGTATGAATTGTCTTATTTTAGGGATTGTGATAAAACCATTAAGCACTCTTTTATGATGTGCAGGTTACAATGAACAGTTTTATTTCTGCATAAATCAGTGATCAGAAGAGCACTTTGCGTCTTTGCCTTTACCAGCTAACTCGCTGTGATGTTGCAAGGGTCTGTCTTCACATTGCATTTGTTTACATTAGTCTCTTCCCAAGCTTTGAAAGTTCAGTTTTATGCCCAGTAAAATGATTTTAGCTGTTTTAGCTGCAATTCTTTAGCCAGTATAAAAGGCTAGTACAGAATATGTTTGGACATATGGTAATTGAGACCAGACAGCATTCACATGATATTATTTTGTACTTTTGTCTAGCAGAAGCCTGATATTTTTTTATTTGAAAATGTACATAATTGTAAGTAATATACTGTAAAACCACAGTTTAATGGACTAATTTGGGGAAAGAGGTGTCTCTTATTGCTGAATGCATATTAAATAAAAAATGATGGTTTTCAAGCCCAAAAACAATATAATATGAGGCACAAAATACTATGTATATGCTATCTGCATCTTCTGGCTTATTTTTTTAACAATTTCAGTCAACACAATGTAAATTTTTCTTGTCACTTTTTTAATAAAAGTTCTTTATTTCATGTATCGTAAATATACTGAATAAATCTGCAAAAGCATACGAAACTCAAACAACACCCATCATAAGAAATGTATATACTGCTATAAGGCACCATTGATATTTCTGAATTATAAATCTATTTGGTTTTTATTTTTTACAATGGGGAATGTATTTCTGATTATTCAGACAACATTCCCTTATCAGATTTTGTTTTGTAAATCAAAGTCCATTAAACTGAGTCTTTACTGTATTGTTTTTTAAATCTTGGAATTGTGACGTGCAACCCTAAACCATATATATATTGTATTCCAGGTGGACCATCTTTCTCAGGTGAATATTTGGTATTATAGCAGATGGATTTAAGCAATCCCTGTTTTCGTAATTTACCCTTTTGCTTGCTTTTCCTGAGCTGGGCATTCCTTGACCTCCTAATTTCTTGCTAATATCAGAACAAGTGTCTTTGTTAGCATACAAAGTCCCAGTAGTTCTTCCTTTTCAGTCGCTATGTCTGTGCTTTTCCCCAACATGAAATCAATACAAAATTAATCTTGTTTTCTGCAGTGCTGATGATAATGATACTGTCTCAGCTGGACATTATTTCTGACACGGCACTTTTCAGGAATGATTATTCTTTGGCTTTTTACTTTTATTTGTTTGCCTCTGGGGTATAGAAAATAGTTGTATAGAAGATCTCACAGATCATCATCGCAGTGCAAGTGTTATCTGAGGTGATTTGTCAGGCTAATGTTATTTTATGTGCTTCCATCAAGGTTACATAAGGACACTTACTTTAAAGAGGTAGATGATGCAAGCTGGATGCAGCCACTTAACTGTGGTTCAATTGATGTAGAATCTAATTTAAGTATAGGGAAGAATAGAAAGTAAATGCTTCTGCACAGCAGAAGGTCATGTCAGAACCCACTTAAATAGACTTGCTGTGATTTTATGGAGATAAAATTTAAAGGTTGACAAAATATGGAAAATAATTTGCAGAACCCCTGCCACACCCATCTCTGTTGCTATTGAGAGAGGCTTTTTTTGATTGCTGTTTTGATATTGCAAATTGTTCCAGATACAGCTGTTGTGCCATGGCATTCCACGGTACATGTGGAAAGTGCAAAACACTCTGGTGGAAGTTGGTACCGAATTATACATAGATTTTCTTTTTCTGACCCACAAGTCATACCAGGTCTTGACCTTAGTCAGCTAGTGATATAGCCTGGCTTCTAGTCCATGTTCCCATGCTTTAGGGGAGATCCTGCACTCTAAATGAATTGTTTATGACTCTTCAGCTTGGGGCCCATTTCTGCTTTTTGCAGTTCCTTTGATAATACTTCTGTACAGTATGGTCTAGTCTGGTTTCAGAACGTTAACCACATATTTGGGTGGGGTTTCGGGTTCTCTCTCTCTCTTCAAAGCCTTAAAAACTATAAAATGAATACAGATAAGAAAATATATTTAGTTAACTGACTTAACGTGTAACATATTAGGTGCAATAGTATTTAATATTTATATTTGAGTTTTTGATTGATTTAAAGTTTGCAATGTTCTGAAAGGGTAATTAATTTTCTACATTGGCTCCCTGCTGCATCCAGATTTATGCTAAGTGCAGCACCTCCATTGCCTTTGGCTGTAACCAGAGAATATTGCATGTTGTTGTTTCCCCAGTGATTGCACAATATCCCAACACACTGGGTTTGGCAAATCTACACTACATTTGATCATATTGATTCATTTTTGGTTTAGCATTGTCTAGTTTTCTCCATAACTTTAAGAATAAATGAAAGAATATCAAGGCAATTTTATTTGCTTTTCTGAAACCCTTTGTGTATGTGCAAAATTTCTTCTGTTGTGATTTTTTTGTTTTCTGATTTGTGTTTGCTAATATGAATAAGCAGTCACATGGCACCCAATACATCTGCACTACCTTAGTTTGCAGCGCATTAGCTGTATGTAGATCCATAACATCATCTGCTTAAGAGAAGTTTCTTTTGATTTTTTTTTTCATGTTGAAATTCTGTGAAAAATCCAGAACTGCTTAGCACAATACAATAATTAATTAATGATTTCAGCAAATGCTTCTTGCATTTAGCTATAAAAAGTTGTTTTGGGTGCCATGAGCTGCAAAGATTGCCTATTTAGAAAGAGACCTCTCATTCAGCATCCTTTTTAAAAGGGCACGTTACAAACTTTTAAAAATTTGCTTAGCAGACACCCTTGTCAAGGGCAACATGTTTACAAAGAATCCATAACCAGGATGATTTGCAACTATCTATGCCGAATACAGTGCAACTAAAATTTCTGTACCTACTCAATGGTACAAGAATTGGAACCCGTAACCTTCCAGTTACAAATCCAAACTTCTAACCACTTCTGTACACTGCTGCCTTTTTACAAACTGACAATCTCTCGTGTCTAATAGCGTCTAAAAACAAAAAATGAGGCAGTAAATGAAAATATTAGTATGCAGTTTGTTTTTATTGGAGTTCCATCAGCACAGTGGCACTTTAGAGCCAATGAGCTGGTCCCATCTTGGGAAGGATGCTAAGTGCTCTCTGCAGCGGAGGCCTGTAGGGCAGTGTAGCATTGTCACTGTGCTTGTCTGAAAGGTGGATTAGCTCCAGGAGGCACAGGGAAAGGAAGAGGAGCCAAACGCAAGCAGCAGGAGGGTGGAACAGCTGGCACTGCCAAAAGAACACGCAGGTAAGGATGGGTGCTCGCCCTCGCCCATCCCATCACTTGGGGTCCGATCTAGGGAAGTGTTTTAGGTTTTCAGAAAACAATCAAGAAGGGGCTGGAGATTGCTCGTGTTGTTTTGGTGTATTGAGACGAAGTGGAAGAAAACAAGGCTAAAACAAGACATTTTAACATGCAGAAATATATTGAAATCTCCATTCACATCATTGCGCATTACACTCTGGGTTTTTTCAGTAGGTGGCAATGATATAGTTAAAGTAAGAGTGCCGTATTTTGCTTTTGGATCATGCTCGGCATGTGCTAGCTAGTTACATCACGAATCAGCCCCGCGATTTTTTTTACAGGCTGTGCTTGGTAACGTTTTTTTATTTTCCCTCCTTTCCTCAGTGATCATTTGTTTTCGGCTCAGCGGCTCCCACCACATGGGTATCCCCTGGAGCACCCCTTCAACAAGGACGGGTACCGCTACATCCTGGCTGAGCCCGACCCCCACGCCCCCGACCCCGAGAAACTGGAGCTGGACTGCTGGGCGGGGAAGCCCATCCCGGGAGACCTGTACCGCGCCTGCCTGTACGAGCGCGTGCTGCTCGCCCTGCATGACCGAGGTGCGCGCCCCGAGAGAGAGGCGGACAGCACGTGCACGGCGCCCCGCTCCTGTCTGCAGGCCGCGCACGGCTGCTGCCTCGCACCTGTGGATCGTGTTTGTGCTGTATCCAAAACTTTCTTTTCGTAGTTTTGAAGCTGATACTTTTAAGTTTGATTAGGTTATTTCATTTCACCTCTGACGGCCACGACCACTCTAATCTCTCCGTCTGTGTTCTCAAAGACGGTTTTCCGAACTCATACATCAGAAAGACCACCGAAACTAAAATTATTCTGCAGCTAGGATCACACATTCTCCCTTCCCTTAACGACAGATTACTGTTCTTTTAAATTTTCTCCATTCATTGGAAGTTTCATTTCACACCTCTCTGCACCCATTCTGACTTCACACCTCTTGATTGGCCTCTCTTTCTGTCCCCTGCTCCCGCCTCTCACTCCTCCTCCCTCTCAACCTTTGTTCTCCCGCTACTTTACCTTTGCCTACTGCCCTGTCTCTCTCACACCTGAAGAAGGCTCCACGGCCGAAACGTTGTGTTCTCTTTCTTCTTTTTTTCAGCATGGAATAAACCTATTACTTGTTCCTTTGTAGGTTATTTTAATATTCTCCTTTGTTTATATCATATTGTTTGTGACTGATTATGTGCAGAGCATTTGAAGGCAAAAGAGCTAACTGTAGTGGTAATTTTGGTCTTCTGCTGCCACACATGGCCCTACCCCCTTCTCTCTAATAACTTTTATTCTACAGTAATGGTTGATCTTGTACCCAGATTACAGCTATCAAAGTCTGAAGGTTAAAACATGGCTTGAGATGACAGGGATATTGAAAAGAAAATTGTCTTTTGTGATTAACTTGAGGGAGGGAAAATTTTACATCAGACCTAAAAGCTTCAAAATCCTATACATCAAAAACATCCTTTGACTTATCTGGAGCCATCCTATAAGGTTTTCCTTCCTTCTGGCTTTGGAGAAATTTATTCCAAAGCTTTTTTTTGGAAGGATAATTGCTAAGACTTATGCTAAGACTTTGCAAAAAAATGTTGCAAAGAAAAAGAACATTGCTGTGTGAGACTGGGCACTGGGCACTGGGCACTGGGCACTGGGCACTGGGCACTGGGCACTGGGCACTGGGCACTGGGCAACGGTAACCTTACGAGCTTGTTTTGTCTAGCTCCTCAGCTAAAGATCTCGGACGACCGCTTGACGGTGACTGGAGAGAAGGGATACTCCATGGTGCGGGCGTCCCATGGCGTGAGGAAGGGCTCCTGGTATTTCGAGATCTCCATTGATGACATGCCCCCAGAGACTGCCTCGCGGCTGGGCTGGTCGCAGCCTTTAGGTGTGGTATCCGTGCCTCTCGCAACTGCGCTGCTAAAAGCCGCCATCTACAGAGAACTCTGCTTTACTTGATATTTCAGATCGGGATGGCCAAGGTTCATTCGGTTTCTACTTACATTTATTCAAGTTTGACATTGGGAAGAAATAACGATACACAAGGAGGAGAGGCTCTTCTGCAGGAAGGATCCGTTTTAGATCTCTCAACAGTCTCTCAAATAGAGTTGGTACAAGTCTTGATTTCAACTTGGCACCACTGAGTTTTTAAATAACAAAATCACTCTGAAAATGACAATCAAGCATTTGAATAAAATGAGGGGAGCAGCCTGAAGAAAGAAGAATAAAGTTGTCATGAAGATGTGTTATGGATCAGTTAGATTCCACAAGGTCTGGAAAGACTTTTTTTCAGTGAACTGTTACCAGTGTTTTTATACACCTGAATCTTGCACTGTGTAATGAGATGCATTTTTCTTTAAATGCCCAGGTAACCTCCAGGCTCCTTTGGGTTATGACAAGTTCAGCTACTCCTGGCGCAGTAAGAAAGGGACCCGCTTTCACCAGTCCATTGGGAAGCATTACTCCGAAGGCTACGGCCAAGGAGACGTCCTGGGCTTTTTCATTGAGCTTCCGGACAACACCGAGACTGCAAAGGCACTACCAGACACATACAAAGACAAGGTAGGGTGAGCTTGGACAGACTCTCCCACATAGTGTCCAGCACAGATAGAAGTAGGCATTGACTTCGCTAGAACCCCTGCTCTTACTCTTCAACTCAAGAGGTTGGCTTTGGAGAAATGAAGCTGTTGTGTCAAAGCATTTTGTCATTTTGGTTCCAGGCAGATACAAATCTGTGGATAAATAAAAGAAACTGTCAATTTTCTTCAGTTTTTTAAAGGAGTTTTATATTGACATTCACAAAATGAGCACATGTTGGCACTACAAGCCTGACGTCTTAAATTCATCAATCTAGAAGGTTTGAAATGTTTTAACCTGTGTTTTAATTACTTGTGTTCCTGCAGGCACTGATTAAATTCAAAAGCTACCTATATTTTGAGGAGAAGGACTATGTAGATAAAGCGGAAAAGAGCCTCAAGCCGACGAGTAGCAGCAAAGTAAGTGCCACTGATCACAGCTGTTTGGGAGAACTATTCATAGGACACCAGGAGCAAGGTTTATAACCTAGTGGAAGAGCATTTAAAACCAAAAACAGAAGGCATTTCTTTAACCAAAGGAATGTGAGAGTGTGGGACAAGGGACCCAGCCATGTTTAAATTGATACCCAGTTGTTTCAAGAAACAACTGGATAGGATTCATGGATTAACTACTAACTACCGAACGATCTACATGGCCAGAAAGACCTCTCGCTTGGAACTGTGCTTATGACCCAAGATGAAACCAGACTGTAGCAAGCCAATAATCCTTTTCTTATGTGTTCAGAATTGATTAAGGATACTGATTTAGGTTTTTAGTTATTGATTTTTTTTTTCTTGGAGCAAAGCTATGATACAATTAGTGAAGTTAAATTTTATCTTCTGCAGATGATATTTTATAGGAATGGAGTCAACCAAGGAGTTGCCTATGAAAACCTCTTTGAAGGAATGTACTTTCCAGCAATCTCCCTCTACAGAAGCTGCACAGTAAGTTCTCCAGGCAGTCTGAAAGAACAGAATGGTGTCTGGGGCAAGGGGAGGTTTATGCAAAATGAACTGGAGAAGCTCTGATCTCCAGTGATTACCAAAGCAGTAAACCTCCCATGTTAAATTACTAGAATCTGGGAGCTGTGTGTTTCAATATGTCACATCTGTTATTGTTCGTTCAAGAAAGACTGTGCTAGAATATCAGAGATGCTGAAATTGGGGCTTGACGTTAATAGTGGGTTACTTGCTACTTTTTCTTCTCAGAAATGTTCAACGCCTGGAGACATTACTTAAAACAGGCACAGATCTATTAAAATAGTTTGAGTGTTAAACGACAATGAATGATGTTTCAAATTCTAACAGATTACGACAGTAAATTAATCACATCTCTGTCCATTTTGTACATTTTCCGTCTGCAGTGTGCACTTAATAACTATACGAAAGGCTATAAACATTTGGGTACTACACACTACATTATTGCTAAAAACCATCTAACAACATGTACGGATGTAAATGATCAGGAATGATATGCTTAATTCCTGATCAGTTTTGTGGCAGTCATGTGTTGTAAAATCCCTTGCAGTCTGACAAATGTGGTGTTTTCAGACTGATATTGGAAACAGTGTTTTGGGAAGGAAACCTGCAGTGTTCTGCTTTGAGTGATACTGGTCAGTTTCAGACCATTGAAAGGTGAACTGCATAAGTATTTAGAGACTTTTTTATAGGAAGCACATTGTCATTTATTTGGCAAATTCCAAGTCTTAGCAAATCGTATTGGGAACACTTTCTTTACTTCACAGAGCTTTATTAAATTATTTTTCAATAATTTTGTCAACATTGATGCTTCCTGGGATGGTTTTTGTCCTTGCAGATTTTTAATGCCCTTTTTTGTTACTGCTAGGTGTCTGTAAATTTCGGACCACATTTCAAATTCCCTCCAAAGGATGTCAAGTATCAGCCGGTGAGTGTTGGATTGCTGATTAAACTTTCAGCAAAAGTGATCATGATCAAGATTTTAACCATCTTAAGAAAATAAGCTTAAATTGTGTTGTTGAATAGCCGGTTATGTTTAGGAATCAGTCTAGGCTTTCAGACACCTTGTTCAGTTAAAGACTGAGCACAGATTGAAGGGCTGAAGATCTTGAAGCGGCTGTGGATAGCTGTTGAGGTCTTGGACTAACCTGTTGTATTTTATTGCCTCAGATGAGTGACATGGGCTGGGGGGCTGTGATTGAGCACACTCTTGCGGATATGCTGTATCACGTGGAGACTGAGGTGGACGGCCGGCGCAGCCCCCCCTGGGAGTCCTAAGTTCTGCAGGAGGATGGGGGAAATCCCAAGGATAGCAGATGCCAAACAAGAGTTCTCAGCCTTTCCGGCAAGTCCAAGAACCGAATGAGGGGCCAGTTTCATCGTGGTTTTGCAATGTGACGGACACATCTGAATTTTCAGTTTTATTCATTTTGAAGCATGGACATTTCCAAGAGAAGTTAGCCTGCTGTTAACGATGGATACGATCTACTAGGGGAAGGAAGAGGGGCCACAGGGGAGGATGTATAAACCGGAACCCTTCCGTCTTTTGTTTTCTTAAATTCAACCAATCTTCCATACCTTTCCTGCTATGGGCAGATCAGGTTCTGTGTTAAGAACTCAGTCTGATTGAGCCTGAATTCAGTTCTGCTGTTTCAGAGGAACAGATAATATGTATCTAGGATTTATTATCAAATTATACTCTTGGAGGTCTGCAGATTGGAGAGAGTTTACAGTCAGCCAGTATTAAAAAGTTCTAAATGCCTTCTGTACATGACTAGCCTTCTTCAGATCCAAGTTAAAAACTTCATCGTATGCAAGGAGAATGTTCAGTGCTGGCCTTATATTGGTAAAGAAGCAGAGAATTGCTTTTCTGTTTTCTTCAGTAATCCCTGTATTGCAGATTGCTTGCTAATTTTAAAGGAAGTGAGATGTTGGTATGTCATGTTTAAATTTCTAACCTTGACTTTTTGATTCCCAAGCCTGTCTTTCTAAAACACTCCATCCACAATTTCTGCAAGTAAAGCTTAAAACTATTTTATAGTCCACTTGCAGACCTACAGGATACCTAGACAAGTTTTCAATATTTCTGGGTTTCCCCAGACACTTACAGGAGGTAAATAGAATTTTCCTTGACATCCTAAACCTTAATTATTTGCAGGATGCAGTAAATTTTGAATGGTTGATATCCTGGTTCACCACATGCAGCAATGACCTGGGTGTAACTAAACGGGATCACATTCTTTTAGCCATTTCAATAGCAATAAGTAATCCGGAATTAACGTAGAAAGAAATCCCCAGTGGAAATAAAAGTAAAAAAGGGGCAGACTTATTTTTTGCTCTGATTTGCACTCGTATAAAATACTGTATGCATAGAAGCAGAAATGTTTTAATTCTAATTCCAGAGTTCCTTTGACGGATATGATTGGCTAAAGTATGCTTTCTTGGACGTAGAAAGTGGTGTCCTTGTTTTGAGAAGGAGTACGTTTTTTGTTCTGCTGTGGAGTTTTACCTGTAAAATTACTATCCTGGGTTTACCTCTTCAATCAAAACTTGCATACTCGTTTACTTCTAGAGCAGGGGGAGAGTCAGGCTTGAAAATCGCACCTTTTTAAAGTGTTTTGGTCCAGTGCCATCATATTAAGAAGTCTCTTACGTTTTTGCTTCTGCTACGGTTGCCTGTTGTGGGCTGAGTGTGTAATTACTAGCTTCCCCATTATTGTATCCATCATGTTAGGTGTAAAATATAGCAGGTTAAATGTTTTTTTTAATTATTGTTTTATATGGAAATTGGTTTTAAATAAAAGAAAAATGTTAAAAAATCGAAAAGTGGATAGTTTGTATCTTTTCGGAGCACTGCTACTCATATTTAGTGGGTCACTGGTAATTTCTGCCATATCACAGCTGACATTTTGTTAAAGACGTCATAAAAACATATCAGCATTGATGATTAGTATTGAAGATTTGGTTGCTTGAATACTAGAAAATTATTCGTTTGTACAATATGGAAAGTCTAAGTCGGTACGTATGCCATTAGAATTAAGCTATAATAAGGATGTGGTTTCCTGATTTAAAGTACCATGGTACTACTAGTTATGCTCGTTAAAGAGCATCCCAGCACATTAACATAACATAAAAATGCCAGTGGATCCATACGAATTAAATACACCATTCTCAAGTGAAAGGAACGCAGACAACACGGAGTGGACTGTTAAATAGTTACTGTAGCTACTAACTTCCAAATGGGGTAGGTGAACTAAATGGCTTCCTCTCTTTTGTAATATGTTCTTAAGTTCAGATTTTATCTTGCAGATCATTTCTTGATTTCTGTTTTAAGTGACTTTCATCATAAACCATGATCCATATTTGTCTTCTTCTAAATGGAATGCAGTACTGTTCTGCATAAAAAAAAGTCCCTAGTCTTGAAAAGATTTTTGATGTAAAGATTGTCCTATAATGCTGCCAAAAATGGTGAAGGAATGTCATTGTTTTATGATGCATCTTAAGCATGTCTAGTTTGTATTTCTTAACTGTTAGAATGATTCCTTGAATTTATATAGTGCTTTTCTGGACGCTCCACCTAAAGAGCTTTACAGGTACTGGGGACTCCCCTCCACACCACCAGTGTGCAGAATCCACCTGGATGATGCAATGGCAGTGCCCCAGTATGCTCACCACACATCAGCTAACAGCTGGGAGGAGGACAAAGTCATGGAGCAAATTCATAGATGAAGATTATTAAGAGGCCATTATTGGTAAAGGCCAGGGGAAACTTGGCCGGGATACCAGGTTTAACAATTTTTTTTTTTGGAGAAATGCTAAGATACTCGATGACTGCAGAGAGTCAGGACCTTGCTTTTGCTTTACAAAATGGCAACTTTTGTACAATACAGTATCCCCATCACCCACCACACAGACCATGGGGTGAGCGACCCTAATGGCCCCACTACACTTCTTCCAGCAGCAACCTTAACTTTCCCAGAAGGTCTTCCGTCCAGGTTCTGGCTAGGCTCACATCTGCAGAGCTTCAGTGGGTTGCCAGTTGTGAGTTCCCAGGTGAAATAGTTTATAGATTATGGCCATTACCCCCATAAATAGGACTGAAATATCTTTATTCCACCTCATTAAGACACTTGCACAATTTGAGAAGCATGGGTCTCGGTAAAGACATCTTCTAAAAACAGATAGACAAACTTCACAAAGCACATTAATTTAAAAAGGAATCCAGTGTCCCATTTTGAGTGGCATTGAAAATCTTTTAAACACTTAAAGTCTTGCATACATTTAAATAGAAAAATAAATAACTCCAATATATAGAATATATGCATGAAGGCTTTGTAATTGCAAATCAAATAAATAAGCTAGTTCACATGACATAATTTGCATTTCAAAACAGCAGATAGACAATCTCTTAACTGGACAGTTTTCTCTGTGTCTGCTTCAGGTTATATAAGTAGTGTCAACACCGGCTCTGTTGGGGTTAACTGTTGACTTGGATTTTCGTAATAAAAGTTCACAATGCTTCCCTTCATCTGATTCCCATAGCAGAAACAAGCAAGTACTTGACATTTTAAAGCATCATTGGGTATAGTCTTGTATGTATTGAGCACTTTTGTTTGTGGGCTGTGTTGTAGCAGTGGGGGGCAGGGGGCTAAAGCTGGGTGGGTTGCTTGAAGGGTGTGTCCACTCTGGTGGTCAAAATACACGTTCAATAAGCACATGGCCACCGAGCCCAAAGGTGGCATCAGCAGGCAAGAGCCGTTCCAACTTGGGCAGAAGCCATCCGTGCTCTCAAGTGCTGGGCAAAATCCACCTGCGTCTGGGACAGCACTTGATTGATTATGGTTTTGGGCAGCCATCCCTAAGAAAGTAATCAGACAGGAATTACATCAGTGAGGCTGCATTAATGTTTGACCAATGGTGAGAGTTTTAGTTAAACAAGTATGATTTGTTTTTCTGCATTAGTCCTATATTTCAAAAAGCAGTTTAACTGCATGCACAGAGAGAGCCTGCATAGTCTGTTGCTTTATTGACATTGACACTTAGGGCAGAGATTTAAACTTATGTTATTTAGAAATTGTTAATATATTATTTTATTCTGCCCGATGCGTGACTGGTATTTTAAATGAGTCACATTTTCACATCATTTTTGATTATTTTGCATTAGATGAAATTTGTCTCTTTATTTTTTACGTTCAGACACTGATACCAATACATTTCCGTTTCTTGTAAGGTGATAAACCTACAATAGCACTGGAGGTGAAATGAATAGTTTTTGTTTTGGGACAAGAGTAATCTTTGATGACTTATTTATAGTAGGCTAGTTCACCGCTGTAAATGACAGCAGACGTCCAACAAACAAAACAATAGAATTAAATATGGGTCAAGCTTAAATGCCTTAGATAGAATTCATTCAACATTTGTTTCTAACATGTTTTACTCGTTAGTATGCCTCTAAGCTTTGGTTAATGATGTGCTTACCTTCAGATCTACACTAAGTAACCAGATGAACTTTGTCTTACGGGGGTCATCTGCATTGGGTCGCAAAACAATGCATGTTGGTCCGTTCTCCGCCCTGGAATAGTAAAGAACAGAAAGCACATTAACGTTGGGCTGGGAAATGAATCACTGTTGACTTAACAGGAGTGATGGCACATTCCCAATACAGAATTTACATTGTGGTGTTCCTCCTGCTAAGGGTTCTGGTTGGAAATGAGGACTTCTGTGCCCCTTTGAGTGTTAGAATATACAGATTGTATCGCCATTAACTTTCTTGACAAATATTTGCTTAATAGTCTGCATTCATCAATCAGTGCCTTTTCTGGTCAATGGTGAATCCTATGCAATGTATATAGTATGTTGAACAAAAATGGCTTTTAAAGACTGCTATTAATATTTTAAAAACCACATTGTATAAAGTATTGTTTTGCTTTAATTGCTATTAATTTGTGTTCATAACCAATTCCTCAATTTTAGTGCCATGAACATGTGGTATTCAAGTAAAGAGTGAATAAGTCAAAGCTAGCGAGATGTCACTGGCCAGTCACTTCACTATGTTAACCTGGAGATTTCCATTACTTTTTTAACAGGTTGGATGGGATTGGTGAGTCTGAACACACATTCCACGTGCAGGTATCCCTGTGCTTTACAGATGCATTTTTCTAAGATTTAAGAAATGCAGAATATGGTACTGAAAGCCCAGTAAAGGCTATATAGTACGTGTCATTGTGAACGCATTTTGACTTTCCAGTAATTTGGCCAGAGGATAAAAATTACATCAACAAATTCAATAGCCTTCAAATCCTAATACACTGGCTACATGATGATCAGTGAGCTATAAACATTCAAATGGGCAGAACAGGGGTCCAGCCATCTCTTGTGGTGTACCTGACCACGCCTTTCTGTTCAGGCATTCCAGGATGATGAGTGGACATGCCAGCCAGGAAGCAGGAGGAGCCCCTCCTCTTGGTGCAGCGCACGCTTACAAAGTCCCGGGGGCCCACGATGTTCCCGGGGGTCTCTGCTGCCACCTCATGCGTCACCATAGTGTCCTGGCCAATCTTTTGAAGGATCTGTGTGATGCCGTGAGGAGAGTATAAGACAGCAGCACAACAGGGACAAGGCCATTTCAACTAAGTGGAAGGACACATTTTGGGGTTTTTTCCCCCCTTTCACACCATTGTTAAAGCTCCCATCTGAATCCAGCTGATCATCTGTTCGGTAAAAACGTAAAGCACTCTACTCTGTGGCTCCACATTCTCAAATTGTGCCTACTGGACTCGCTGCTACAATAACCGATCACCTAAGTCCAAACCTTAAGGGATCAAGATACTTCTGCTGTAGCCCAACTTTATGCCTGACTTCTTCCCTGAGGGACCAACTCATAATCGGATCCCCTCCCCGCTGCTAGCAAAAGCATGCCTATTAATCTCTTTACGTATTCAGCTAGATCTGTAGAAATCCTCAAAGACTAAAGCAAAGTTCTCCTTTGGATGATAGGGGCTAAAATGACTCTTTTTTTTGTGGGAGTGGTGGGTGGGGGGCTTCTATCTGCAGCCCACATTGCTGCTCTTCATCAACGCTGTCAGACTGTGATACCTTGACTTTCTTGACACTGGGGTTCCACTGGCCCATCTGCTCCATGTTGTCCACGAGCTCGCCATACAGCTGATCAGGGGGCTGGTCCAGGACAACTTCCAGTTTAAAGACCTTGCCCACGTCTGGGAGCACCTTGCTCAGGACCTTATCACCATTAGCCTACAAAAAAGGATAACAAACGTAACCAATTGCTTGGAGGAATTTAAATAGGCGTGCAAGACACTGATGCTATAAATGGACCTAAGCATCCAAAAATCCCAAGACCAAGAGTGGTTGTACCCAAGGCCAACTGAAGCATGAAATTACGGAAAGGGATGCTTTATTAAGGTTGCTGTGGAGGCACTTGCAGGAGAATACAAGTTGTGCTGGAATTACAGCTCAAAGGTATGTCTTGTTTTTTTTAAAACTGGTGCTTCTGTAGTTAAATCCCAATCAGACATTGCTAGTTTTCTCCTGAAATGTGATTCCATAACTGCGTCAGAGTGGTTTTATCAAGGGCAATCAAGACAGCTGACAAACAGGCATGAACTCTGCAGCTACTCACTGCCACAATCTCGGTCTTCCAGCCATCTTGGTCACTGAGGATGCTGATGGATTTCTGCAAAGCTTCCTCGCCCTGTTTCACATAGGCCATGTCCACCTCGCTGTAGGGCTTCTCCTCGATGCGGCTGCCTGTTCAAGCACAGGGAGAGTCAGTGTGAGACCGGGTCGTCTTTCTTCCAGTCTCCTGAGCTACAGTATGTTCTCATTTCGATTAGGTGCCATTTTCCTCAAGGGACTGCTTTCTGTCCTATCATAACAGCATACTAAATTATAGTCAAATAGTGGTAAAAGGCTTGAAAGTAGGGTAAATTACAGTAAAATGTAGAGGAAAAGAAGACTAAAACAACAGAATTAATGTCAATTGTAATTCACAAGCTTTCTTAGCAGAATGTTCTAGTCTAGATACTCGACTATCCTGAGGTCTGTGGGGCCACTATACTTACTGAGCAAGGAGCTCCTCCTGCGAACGTGATGTATCCAGCTGCTAGGGCCGGGACCTGACAGCCTCTTCAGTTCCTGGTTGATTGCGACCACAGCGGTCTTTCTCAGGCCTAGAGAGAGAGATGAAAAAAAAGTCTTGCTCTTTGAAGTCTTCATCAGCAGAATTCCTGCATAAGCACGGTATTCATGCAACACGAATACTGCGGAGAATAACTGCTAAAACACGGGGGAAACACAATTCGTAAGCAAGGCAAGAATCCGTAAATGTTAAAACTCGATGCAATTATTTATAGCTGTCCAGAATGAGCTCTAGTGATAAAATATGCTTTCACCAAGGTTTTTTTTTGTCAATCTGAAGTATCTTGGTAGATTTAATAATCAAAGACAAACCATTCTTATTTGGCAGACCCATATTTTATAATAAAGAAGAAAAGCGACTCATTGTGTCTATAATTAGACTCCATATAAATAAGCGATGTTCTAAGAATCTGTACTTGCTACAAATAACTCAGAACGTTTTAAAACATGATGCACGTTGATAATTTCAGGTGGATTTTCAGTAAAGCTGGTAGGACTACTTATACGTTTATCGTGAAGTTTTTATTGTATTTCTACTTTATGGGTCGAATAATAAAAACCCTCTTTCCTTTAAAAAAACGTCCAGTGGTCCGTCACCAAATTTCAGTTTACACTCTTTTCTCCCAAAAAGAACACGCAAATGTTTTTGTTTGTTCACAACGACGGCACGATATGTAAGAAAATGTGAATAGTGAAATCGGAGCATCCAATAGAAAATACTATCTGACCGCCATCCACCTGCTACGTTTTCCAAATCGATACCCACACCTCAGTGCCGGTATGCCTACCGTGCGTGAATGCGCTTTGAACGTCTCTGGTGGTGTTCGCTTACCGGTCATGTTCCTCATGTGTCGGTAGGAAATCCCGGCACACAGTTTGAAAGTAGCTGGCAGCATAGTAACTATTAGTAGCAAAAAGAACTCGAGATCTGTTTACGGTCCAAGTGCAGTTGCGATTCTGCAGCTCGCCGGTGTGCACTGCTCTATTTAACTACTTTGATGGCCATGGCGTTGGCAGCTCTGAGATAAGCAAGCACATCATTTAACTGCAGCGTTAACCCTCGGCCAAGGACAAGAGATGTACTCGCCGAGCCTGTCACCGACACCAATAAACAACCCAGATGGGGAGATAAGGCCAGGAGCTTCCTGGAGTTTCCTCTCACCCTGATAGGAACACGTCAAGCTATGCAGCGCCGCAAAAGACACCATATTTTTTCAAGGTAAGAGGAGATGAGACGGTGAAGTCACGCCACGGATTCCAGTTTACGCGTTAGAATTAGAGAGATTGCAATTTCCACGGGGAACACCAGAATAACACCTGTTGCAGGAATCTTACCATTCAGTTGCTTATCGTTAAGGATAATGAATCATTCTTCATTTCAAACAGGGTCTTGAGCTATTATTTTAAAAAGAATCGGTGTATTTGTTGTGTAGACAGGTCACAGTTAATCACCGCTAAGAGGTACTCTATCTTGTCAGTTTATCTGAGGGATGACAACATCACTCGAATTACAGTTCCTCCTGGTTCTTTGCAGTACGAACTGTTTTCCCTGACTCCGGCTGTCAAGAGTTGCTTTATGCCACAGATGCAATGCTCGAATAAAAGCACGGCCTTATCGTTCAGATTAGTTTTTTTTTTACTGCTCACGTATTTTGAAATTAAAGACCTCCTCAGCGTACAGAATATTTTGAATCCAATATGTTTATGTTTATATTGTTAGACTTTCTATACTGTAGCTGTTCGATTAATAAATTAAGATACTGATGCATTTTCTTTGCCCTCGTTCACACGGGCGAAACGGCAAAACTATCTGTTTCTGGGTAAATAAATCTTTAAACGCTAGGTATTAAAAGTCGCAAAATAGTTGCAACATCACGCGGTTTACACTGTTGCAAAACGTTAGAACGTCACACTGTATCTTTAAATCTTGTCACTCTGCACCAACAAACGGCTATAAAGAATGTCAGATGGTTACAAAAGCACACCTTCAGCCTTAACCCTCTGTCCCTCATATCTCATTTTAGAATTTATTATTAAAAACGTCCTTATTCTTATCTAACGCTTATAAAGGCGAACAAAACTGGGAGAACGGCCGAGGGGAATTGTCAGATTATTTCACAACTACTCGGGAGCGCTAACAATGTGACATTTCACTTTCTTTTAGTGAAAAGTGATTTTAAACATCAACGAGTGATGAGCTAAAAAGTGACAGAATTGCGTCAGAGAGTTTATTGATAATTCCTCTATTCGGATTCTCGATCTCGCGCGGAGCTTCTTTCAGACCGAATTATTCCCCATTTGATTTTAGTTTACCCCACGTTAATAGCTTCTAATAATGAATAATCTAATTTAAAGAAATGTTAACTTTTAAGAAAGTTCAAAACCCGCTTTTGCCTTTTTCGCTTCACAAGTCTTTGTGCCTTTTTGTTTTGTACTGGTTTACAGGAATACCCAACCTTGTGATGGCCTTTAAATAATCACACTCTGCCATTAATTATATTGTCATGTATTAATTAAAAAAAACATATCAAAAGGCTTTGACCTACCATGTGTGTGGTTTATGTTAAAAATACAATTTCCTACTGCACATCTGGAGTAAAACGGGTTAAAATTTCCTGTAGACGTGAGGTGGAGAGGGGCTTAAAGACTTCCTTTTTAGTTATTAAATAGATTTTTTTAGAAACGCCACTCGCACTTGCTGAGTGATGGCGACGGGCTGCACATGGGGTTAATTTTATCGTGTCTGTCTGCTAAGACATTGCCAGTATGCTAGGCTTACTCCATAAAGTGATTAAATGTACAAAAGCAGAAATTAAGAGTTGTACTGTCCCCTGCCGTAGTATATTTGCCTGGTCGTCATCCAAATTAAAGTTACCACAAACTGATGAAGTACCTTAATCAGATTTAAAACCAGCAGAGCTGTTTAATTAGTAGTTTTTTTGTCTTTGTCACCCGATAAAGGATAAAAAGTGTAACTGCTTTTTTGTATCATATTGAAAATGTAGAAATCCTTTTAGCATTAAATATCCACATATATTTTCCTTTAGTACAGTGAATTATTAAAGCAAGGCGCAGTTGCAAAATAACTTTTTATAATCTTAATATTCATTATTATTAGTACTCAATTAGGGCATCACAGTGGCACAGTGAAAAGCATTGCTTCCTCACAGCACTGGGTTCCTGGGTTCAATTGGACCTTGGCAGCTATCTGTGAATGTTCTCTTGGTGTTCAACTGGGGTTCCCCGGGGTGCTCTGGTTTTCTCTCCCAGTCCAGAGACATACTGGTAGGTTAATTGGCTTGTGGGAAACCTGGCCCTGATGTGACTGTGTGTGCTCTGTGATAGACAGGCATCTTTGACAGGCTACCCTGTTACTTGCTGTGACAGGCCCTGGCTAGGTGGATACTCAAATATGATTCAAAACTTTATTGTCATTACAACTGATGGAATTTGGTTAGGAGAGCACATACTGTACAATTAGAAGACAGACAACAAAAATAAACCAAATAGAGCCAATAATAAACAGCATCCATCCCCACACATAATCACATACAGTACCATGCTAAACACACAGCGGTAACTAGGTAAATGAACAGTGAGAACAGCCATGCACAAATTGCAAAATCAAGGTGCTGAATTCATGCTGGAGGTACTGTTATGGAACCTAGTAATCCTTGTTTTGATAGACCTCAACTGCTTACCAGATGGGAGTAAAAAGTGAACAGAGGATTGAAATATACCAGCCGTGTACTATACATAGGGAATCATAAGTATAGAACTGATTATTTGATTCCCTTTAGTGTTTCTGCAGGATTAGGTCATTTGTCTGTTAAGGAACAGCAGACCAGAATTTTTTGTCAGGGTGTTATGCTGTGAGAATGAAATCTCGAGTCATGGTCTGTAGATGTGATGGTGCATTTGCTGAAAGCCTGACTTAATGTTTCAACTCAGATAGTCTCAGGGTTGCCAGGCAGCAGCTGATGAATTTACGAAACCTGCAACATCCATCCATTTTCGAACTCCTTTATCCAAAACGGGATCACAACGTACTGGAGCCTATCCTGGCAAGGAATGGGCACAAGGCAGGACACACCCTGGACAGCTCGCCAGCCCATCGCATGTCTCAGAATATATATGTTAATTTATATTAAATATATATTACATTCTAGTTTGTCAAAAAATACTTCAATCCAGAACCAGATCTCATATCCAGAATTTGAAATAAGACGGATTCTTGTCTGTGCACAATCACGTTTGTGAGATCTTCTCTCCTAGCTGTAAATTGTTTTTCAAAGAGGTCCTAAACACTCAAAGCTCATTGCTTTTTGTTTAAGTATGAGTATTGAATACTAAAAGCAATAAAGTCAGTTCTGTGGATAGTGATTTAGTAGTATTGTTTTATACAGTCTTTTTGAGTGAGATGGAAATTCTTTTTTAGTCTCTGCTTATATAAATGTATTATATATAATATATATATTATATTTTATAAAGCATTTAGTATATATTTAAAACATTATACGAAAGCTCTATAGTTCCTACTCAGTAATATAGAACTAAATATTCTGGAGTCAATGCTAAAAACCCAGTAGAAGGTTAGAGAAGGTTTTTTAGAGAAGACTTTTTAACATTACACAAATCAGGCATCACTTAAACCTGATGGTCAGTGGCCAGAGGCAGATGGTTTCTTCCCGTTCACCTTGGGATACGAACACTGCCTTCAGCACAGACCTTCGCATGCCTCTAGAATCAATCAGTCTCCCCAAAGTGATGTGTGCAGTTCCACATCCAGGCCCTGGAAAAGTCACGTGCTTTCCTTGAAAAAAAGAGCTAGTTGGATCAAGGATATTGGAACCCTCCATGGCAGACAGTGTGTGTGTTTGGGGGGGGGGGGGGGGTTGGAGGATGAACTGTTTATGATCGTTTAGATTTTGTTAGAAATTCCAAATTTTATTGAGGCTAAGGAGGAATGGTTGGGAGGGATGACAACAGCCAAGTTCAATCAGACTCAGTTGTCAGTAATTCATTATCATACTTGAAATTCAAAACTGATTCACGATCAATCCTGACACCATTTCCTCACCTAAAACATTACAAATACTGTACATGATCCCCTTGTCTCCCACCCTGCCGCCATCTCTACCTGTGTGGCCGCCCCTTGGTCGCTCCTCAGTCCACATGGGGCTCCCAGTCTCCCCGTCCCAAGGCTGGGAGGTCAGCCATCAGCCAGATGGGACTAAAACACTCGTTCAACCTTTCGATACGCTTAGTTCTTAGGTGTTGTGACTCCTGGTGAATTACAATTCAGTGTGAGCCCCATGGCTCAGGAAAGTAGGTTCTGCTGCTAGTAGGGGATTTTTTCAAGCAATAAAAGACTTTCTTACTGTATATCCGACTTCCTTCCATGGACACAGTTAGGCAGAGGGGGAAAAACAAACAAACACCTTGCACCTGTTCAGGCCATCACCGGTTTTATTGGGAGTTTCGTTACAAGGCACATTACAAAGTTTCATTACAAGGTTTCGTCCAGTGCAGTGGTGCTGTTGCCAGACACATCATGCACCACTGGATTGGATTCTCATGCTGCTGGGAGCTCACTGTCTACATCAAGCTGAGGAGGCTCTTTCACTGGTTACTGGAGCTACCTTCTGACTTAGGAAAACATGAAAACTTTCAATCGGAGTGCAACTGTTCAATACTGGCTTTATGGAACCTCGCCTGACTTGTTCTGGATGCAGAGAGGCACTTGACGCAAATCAAATGAAAACATTTAAATATTTCAAAAAAACTTTTTTCCTAGACTGATACAATAAAATAACACAACATGCTTAGTATATAGCAGGAGCTGTTTTTTGCTAAATGAACGTTCTTCCTGATATTTGAACGTTTTAACATTGAAAATGTGCATCGCCTTCCTGAAATGCATTCATGGATTAAAATCCGGTGGGATCTGATGTTCTGGCAGTATCTAAGGAACAGATATTGAAAGCACATATGGCCAAATTATAAGTACATACATATATAGGAAACTTTACAAGTTTTGTTATCCTGCATATGTGTGTGATACCAATTGTTTTGTAAAGTGACTAAACTGTTAAAATACATTTAAAAAACAGATCTTCCGTTCAGTTCCTCAACTGTTAATTTGCACATTGTATCTTCCCAACCTGGCAAATTGTCTTTAGATCACATTAGCTGACTCCACACTTCCCTGAAGGCACCTCAAGCCTCTGTCTTTATGTAAACTGCAGGACATAGACATTTGGTTCTAAGAATATCTGTGTCTTGTGTGGTGGTGATGGTGAGAGGAGGTTCACTCATTTTTTCCACCACATTCTAACAAAAAACAACTGTTTTCAGTATTTTGTAAATTAATTGGAAATGCATCCAATTTCATGTATTTTTGGGAACACATTAGATTAGCAGACACAAATTACATTCAAGCTTTTTAAGCTGGTACAATAGTTTAAGATGGTCCTCTCTGTCTGTCCTCTACTAATCGATTGTATTTTAACCAAACCTGGTGTTCTCATCTTAGATATGGGTCTTTCTTCACATAACAATCAGTGCTGGTAGCTTTCTTCTGTGTCATAGAATGTCATTTGCAACACGCCTACCATTTAAAAGCTTTAATCATCAAAAATAAATGTAATCAGAAGAAAGCTCTTTCAAATAGATATCCCATTCTGTTTTCACCATTGCCTACTTCTGCTTTCAGAATGTTGATTGAATTATTTATAAAATACTGAAACCTCCACTCTTTTAAAAACTGATATGAACGCAGCTCAACACATAAATAGCAATGATGTACAATCACAAAAACTAAAGTGCTTCATGTATGTTGTACTGCATAATCTATAGTTGGTACATTAGACCTGTCGGTGATAAAAAGGAAAATATAAAAAGGGTACATGGATATGGTTGAATATGTTTTGGGTTTTTTATATTATGCAGTGTACTGTTGGTTACCTATTTTGTGTACACCTGGGTTTGAAATGATGCACAATTGTTTCTGTATTTTTTTTAAAAGCTTACACTTTACTTTCCTACTTATTTGTGTAACAAGGTCAAGAAATGCAGTTATTGCCAATGGCAGTGGTACATTCTATGCTTTCCATTGGTATGGCTTCAAAAAGAGTTGGTAAAATATCAAAGTGATATTTCTGTATCAACACCAAACACACAGCCACACATACTTCACAGAAATTAGAAGCACAAATAGGCTTTGATTGTTTAATTAAACTACTCCCATATACTGCACAACCCACTATTTTCTTTTCTCTTCTTTTGGGAGTTCAGTGCCGAACTTGGTTGGTTTTAAGGTTACATCTATTCAGAAACGGAATACAAGTGAAGTATTAATCAATATAATATTGATTGATTTTGGTAGAAGGACAGGTGACTGCCTGCACTACTGCTCATCTGTACTATTGCCAGTATCCAGCCAACAAAATGTGATAACTATATATAAATGTGCTATATAAACTTGGATTTTGGACAATATCTTCTAAAAATGTAGGCATTTTTCATTCCTAGGATCCCAGCCATAACCGAACTGTATTTGCAATGTTGACATTGACCAAAGTGAATTGTCTCCCTTCCCTAAAGAAATCTCTGACTTCTTCTAAAAAAAAGTTTCCTTAGTGTTTTCCACATTTTGAGGCTCCTCCTAGAGCTTTTCAGAACGGACTGCTCCTTTTCCTTTCTTCTGTGCTTTCTGGGAGTTTGATACTAGATTTCTACAGACAGCAGACTTTTTCCATCCAGACCACAGCAGAGAGCAGTTCTATCGCCTCTGTGACCTCAAGTCTTAATCCACCATCTACAGCAGCCTCCAGCCCATACAGCAGCCCTGTCACTCTACTGTACTTCAGGTGGCTTCTCCAAATCATGGAGATGAAAAGGGTTTGTGCTCGTTGGGTGTCCATTGTACTCGTTGAATTATGTATGGCTATGGTATCCACTTTGTTAAAAAAGCAGACCTTCTTTTAAAATCGGTTATAGCAGTTTCTTTTCTGTTCAAATGTACATTTTGTAAAAAAACAAACAAACTCCACATACAACATTAATAATAATAAAATTAATTAAAAAAATAAAAAGAATTAAAAAAAAATCTTTGGCCTGAGAGTATGCAAGGCAAACAAGCTTTGCCTTGAGGTTGGTGGTGTTGAGTCTTCTATTCTGCATTTGTTCTTTTTAGAAAACAAAGATTCACCGACTAAATTCCCTGCAGCGGTCTTCTTTTAAAATTGTCCCCTGAATCTGTGTCTCCCATCCATTGCAATAATCCTGAGATCCTGTGAGGTGACTTTTTTTTCCTTTTGTTATTTCGTTTAATAAAATTGTCTTTTCTTCAAAGGTACTGGAGTGGGGGCAATCATTCCCCCTTGGCATGTCATACTTTTGTTGGCCACTAGGGGACAGAGTTTGCTAAAGAGTCCACAGAATTCACACTGGAAGACATTTTGCTGTAAGCCAAGGTGTTCTCTGGTGCCTGGAAGAGAATGCAATATGCTTGTGTTCAATATGAACAATACTAAAGGCCTACTAATGAAACACGCTTCTATCACCACAAAGAATTATTAAAGGCCAGCTTGCAGTGATTCATACTGAAAAATTAATTTCAATATAAGAAAAGCTACAAATGAGAAGTGGTCATTGGCATCATCAAAGTGGTTTCATTTGAATACCAAAGTTTACCACATTAAAAATAAGATTGTTTAAATTTCCCTCCTTATGGTATATCCTCCGCCCTCCCAAAAACGTGAAAAGCTGTTTGGTTTTCATTTTATTTTTAAATTTATTGAACGTTCCACCTTTTGAAATTTGTTCCCTTTACTATCCTGAAAATATAGCCCAGCAAAGTGATCCTGACGCACAGGAAAAGAGGCAGGCTGAGACTGTGAGGCTCTTACATGTCTTCTGAAGAGTCTGTCCAGCAGGCTGCGTCGAGGCGGTTCAGGAAGGTGATTCCAGTCTAAATCAGGAGGCCTTGTTTCTTGTGGTCCAAAGACATTCAGGTCTTTAAAACACTCGGTCTCAATCATCTGTCAGAGAGTAAACACCATGCAGAGGGAAAGGGGTTCAATTTGCAAACTTCAGATACTGTGGAGGCAGGTGTTTTACTACGAACAGAAGAAACTGGGTAAAATCAGGAGGCTCAGTACAGTTGCATCTCCTAAATTCAATCTGAAAAGCTCTTTCTAAAGCAAATTCATTTACTACAATATTTGCACCTAAAGAAGCATGATGGAAACAATACACTAATGTGCATGAACTTCCATTGTGCAATGTTACATTGTACTTACAATGTGCCGTTGAGGAGCAAGCTCACATTATTTGTGGAAATGCGCAATCTTATCATGTTCATATGATGATTTCTGGACCAAAGCTTGATGACTCCAGCACTAAAGCCCTGTCTTAAATGTAGCCTCCTACCTCGTTCTGCCAGGGAATCGAAACGCTGCCTGTGGCAAACTTGGCATAGAAGTCATTGTCAGTTTGGTCCAGGTTGACCCCTTTGACAGTGGAGAACTGTTCAATGTCCAGGACGTCTTTGCAGTACACAGCTCTGGGCTGCAGCGATAGACAGAGAGATGGTTATAAACATACACAGTCTTGAGATGACTAGATGCAGGAAAAGGAACTCGAGTAAAGAAACTGTTTCTTACATCAGGCACGAAGGAAGGCTCCAGGATGCCAGCCTCAAGCCTCTTGAAGTTGATGTTCTTGAAGAAAGGATGAGCTTTAACCCCTGCTGCCCCATCTGACTGGCACCCAAGCCTCAACTTCGCATCTTTAGTTAACAGCTGCAAAAACCAGACACATGAGAGAGCGAGAGAGACAGTTTCATTTGCTTTTGAGCTTATCAGTGCTGTAAAGGGAACAGCTGCCTTGGTCAGCACCAGGAATTTTTTAAAAAATAAAATGAAAATAAAGAATTACTTGATTCAATCTGACATGGTATTGTGATAAGGTTTTCAGTCATGAGAAGGAAGAAGAAAATTATGTTTCAAGCTTTAAGTAACTTTTATATTTTTTTTGAGCAAGAGTGCCACTTAATGTTTAGTTTTATTGTTATAAAGAATTTAAGACGAGTTTGTAGCAGGAGCAGTGGAAAGCTGCAGTTCAGAGGTCATGTCGATAGATAGGTAGATTTGTAACCATTAATAGTTTTAACAAACAGCTCAATAAGACTATCAAAATCAGACAAGCAATCTAGACCAAGATCTTGCATAGCAGGGATGCACAATGTCAGAAATGAATCTTATTTTCAGATTGAACTAAATTCGGTTCCCGGTCTTGTGCAGGATAAGCGAGCGGGCGACGATTCTGATGGCCCGGGTAGCTCACCAGCCTGCAGACGTTCTTGGTGTCCTCGGTGAACTTCTCGTTGTACTCCTCCTGCTCCTCCTGCACCCGCTTCTCTACCTCCTCCCTCTTCACCCGCTCCTTGCGCACCCGGAAGGGGGAGCGGCCCGCCGTCATCTCAAAGATCAGGCAGCCCAGCCCCCACCAGTCGGGGCTCATGGCATAGCGCTCGTTGTTGATCACTTCGGGGGCTGCGGGGTGGCGGTGGGAGAGAAAGGGCACGTCAGCACCACCGCCTCCGCTGGCGGGCCGGGTCAGAAATAGTGCTGCCCTGTCACGAGGACTGAGGATCACTGCCACCGCGGGAGACCGTGTGAAACGATCCTTCGGGGACTCCGAGACAGAGGATTAGTCGTTATCAATGACAGACTGGAGAGAGTTCAGGCCAGTCTTCAATATCACCAGCAGCCAGCAGCCATATCACCCTGCAACTCACAACTGGCAGCCCACTGAAGCTCAGCAGGTGTGAGTCTGGTCAGTACCTGGATGGAGACCTCCTGGGAAAAACGAAGGTTGCTGCTGGAAGAGGTGTTAGTGGGGCCAGCAGGGGGCGCTCACCCTGCGGCCTATGTGGGTCCTAATGCCCCAGTATAGTGATGGGGACACTGTACTGTAAACAGGTGCCGTCCTTCGGATGAGACATAAAACCGAGGTCCTGACTCTCTGTGGTCATAAAAATTGTTATTTTGAGAATAATAATTCTCGAAAAGAGTAGGGGTGTAACCCTGGCCAAATTTCCCTTATCAATCATGGCCTCCTAATAATCTATGAATTGGCTTCATTACTCTGCTCTCCTCCCCACTGATAGCTGATGTGTGGTGAGAGTACTGGTGCACTATGGTTGCTGTCGCATCATCCAGGTGAGGCTGCACATTGGTGGTGGTGGAGGGGAGTCCCCATTACCTGTAAAGTGCTTTGAGTGGAGTGGAGTATCCAGAAAAGCGCTATAAAAGTGTAAGTAATTATAATTATTCAAGGGAAGGATTCCTGCAGGTTTTACAGATATGTATCAATTTGCTCCCGATTAAGGCATTAATTAAGGTTAAGGTATTAATTAAGCACTTACAAAGACTTAACAAAGTTGCCCATTTCTGGTTAAGGCATTGCTTTAAAACACCTGGAAGTATTCTTTGTCTGGTTATTCAACAATTTCTATTTTAATTGGAATCCATGGAGAATGAGGAAACACAGATGCCGGGTGAATAGCTTCCTTCTGTTATTCCACCGAAAGTGCTGATAAGTGAGTATAAATTTGCATGCAGGTTGTTTTATCGTGGCAATGACAAATTAGGAAGTTCTAATGAACACATACCCATATAGCCAACAGTGCCCACCCTGCCTCGAATCAGCTCTCCTTCAGGCACCTTGATGGCCAAGCCCAGGTCAGATATCCGAATGTGCCCTGTGATAGTGAGAGTGAAATACAGTATATAGCTTGAATGCAAAATGCCTCACTTTGTTATGCTGCTTCCAAAATGCTGTTCAAGTGAAATAATAAGCACCTTTACACTTCCAATTTTGCTTTCAAACAAATTCCAAACTTGCAAATTTGGGTTTAAAAATCCCTGTTTTTCTTCTTCCAGCATCACAATTCAATCAATGTAACCATAAACTAAAAATGAGAATATATTCCAACCACACAACAAAAAATTAAAACAAAAATAAATGTTTAATTTTACACATACGAGTTCACATTCTTAATTTGTTTTAGCACTAAATGCCCTTATTTTAGCCTGCAGCTGCACGTAAAATCCTTCATTCGATCCCCCAGTTCGTGATTACAAAAAATGATTACATCAGTTATTGAAGTCAGTGAGCTATATAGTATTATTACTTAGTGGACCTTCCTTACAAGGTTTAAATGTAATAAATCATTATCCCTCAACACTAAATCCTTAATGTTTCCCAGACAAGCACCAACATATGACACTGGACCATCTGTGATGCACATGCATAAGTCTGTGCCAGATCTGGTATGCGTCCCAATATTTGAAGTTTGGCGCTTTGCATTCAAGTTGACCCACTTATTGTATATCCAAATCCTCCACTGAGTCTTGATGCCTTGAAGTGAAGTTTAGGCCATATCTTACACAACATATACTGTACATATGAACACAAACCAGGCGCAAGGTTATGCAACAGGTCACATACTCGAAATAGATATGTTCTGTGACACACTTACCATAGTCATCTAAAAGAATGTTCTCTGGTTTTAAATCCCTGTAGGTCCAAAGAAGACAGAAGAATGCAGAAGTTATAAAAATAGATCTAACACTTCTGTGAATCAAAACATGGTAAAATGTAACCACGACTGAGCATGGGAATTAGTACAGAAGCTGTGAGCGTTGAAATTTAACCTCTGACACTTTTTCAAGACATATGCAATGTATTTTAATACTTTATATCATCCAAGAAAGTAAGACCTAGTTCCAGGTTTTGAAATCCACATTTCTTGAGACCGTTAACAACTACATTTTAATAAGTTCCTATTATAAAGAAAACCTTTTAAGTGAAACACTTAAAAACAGCTAAAGATTCCTGGTGTCTCTTTAAGCTACAGAAGCTATTAATTTAATAATCACTCTCCAAAATCACTTTATTTTTAAAACAAAGGCAAATACGCTTTTCTTGGTGTGTAATTCTTCTTATACACACCCTCTTTCCTTTGAAAATATTAGGCCAGATGGTGTCTATTATTCCACAACACTTTTTTAAATAGTAAAAACTAAATAATTCCATGGAATAACAAGGGAATAACACTTGAAGAAGAACACACAGGCACGATGTCTGGAGTAATAAGCAGACCACCGACACACTAAGCAAACAAATCCTTCTAGTAGTGCAATAGGACAGGCTAAAGTGCTTGTAAGGCAAAGAGAGTCCACCAAGTGGTGCTACTGTACAATACAATTAGAGTCTGATCACCAACAAGTGCTGAAAAAAGTCAAGAAAATGAGAAATGTCAAGAATGTAAAGTCTCCAGCCTAGAACCACATAAAAACAAAAATCTCTTTCCTTCACAGTTTTGGACAATTTTAGGTTTTACAAACAGCAGAATCTTTTTCTAAACCAACAGTAGGTGCTGGACATTTTCAACCTTTGAACATCTTTTTTTAATCTGCACAGAGATGTAAGACACTCATTTTTAGGTATAGTGCCCTTCTGATTCATCAGTACAACTAGTACATAAACATTAATTCTGGGAAATCTGACATGGATGATCTAGGACAGTGCAGACTTCAGACCTTGTGAGCTACATACATTACGGCCCAGGTACAGCAGTCACATTGCCACCAGAGAGCCTAGGCTGGACTTGAAGACTGATTTAAGAAAGAAGACTGCTCGATTCCAAGAGAGGTGGGTGTTTGTGTGTGTTTATTTGCGGCCAAACCACAATGTGGATCACAGTCAATCCAGTACAGGGTGTTCTAATGCATTCAATGATAGGAGATTGGCACAACAAGTTCATTAAAGTAATTGATAATTAACTTCAGATAACTGGGGAGTTAATATAAATATATGATACTAGGTTGGTATTTGCCTACCCTCTGTGCAGGTGCTCTATCTAGAAAGGGATTCCTGAGCAGTGAGGGTCAGCTACACAAATGTACTGCGGAGGCTGACTTGAGTGAGATGTATTTAGTGTAAAAGTCTGGATCAAGCTTTTTTCTTACACTCTCACCTATAGACAATGGCTTCTCTGTGCAGGTGCTCCAGTCCACAGCAGATCTCTGCAGCATAAAACACCACTCTCTCCCTATCGAAGCCAGGGGTGCCCATGTTGTAGATGTGGAACTTCAGATCCCCGCCATTCATTATGGTCAGCACCAAACAAATGGCGTCCTTGGTCTCATAGGCGTACGCTAAACTAACCTGGGCACAGATCATTACAAATTATAATCAGTACCAAAGGGGCTTTAAGTTGTCTGGGAGGCAAATAAAACCAAAGTATTAAATACAAAAATGCTCACCACAAATCTGCTGTTCACTTTCTCCAGGATCTGCTTCTCATTTAGAGCCATGGCCTCTCCCTTCCTCTTTTTGATTCGCTTTTTTTCCAGCTTCTTACAGGCATACATCTTCCCTGTGGCTCGTACCTGACAAGCACATACCTGGCAACAGGCAGTGGAAACCTTTAAATGTCTCTTGAAAGGGTCTGCTATTCAGGTTTAAGAATACTCCTAAGTCAAAGCCCTTTCTCTCCCAGCATTCTCATGAGTTCCTGTCACGGCTGAGAAGCCCTTTCATTTTTAGTTGCAGCAACCCAAGGCTTGACGCCCAAGGCTGGGGTGCTGGGGTGAAAGAGACACCAATTCAGCAAAGAACAGATGCACACACAAGCACACAGGGATAATTTAGTGACACCAGTTCACTTGGTCTGTGTGTATTTGGAAGGGAAGGAGAAAAAACAGGAGTGTCTGGGAAAAAACTCATGAGAACATGGGGAGAACATGCAAATTCCACTCAGAAGGCACCCAAGAGCTGTAAGGTAGCCTAAGCGCTTGTCGGCGCATCACCGCCACTGAGGAATCCTGTGTCTCAAATGTTCGTAACTGTAAACAACAACTCATCACCTCAGTTAACATAAAATGTGCAACAAATTAAAATGATTTATGATTCTTTCCATGCAGCAGATGTCGAGACACTACTAGTGGAGCCTTACCTCTCCAAAACCTCCCTTTCCCAGCACTCGGTATTGTCGAAAAGTGTCTTTTGTGACAGGTTGTCTGAAAAAGACCATCATGGATTTGGTTAATTTGGTGAATGTCTTTTTGCACTTAAGAGGTTGGCTTCCACATTATTAAAAAAGAATATTCATGCATTTGCAAAACTACATGTTTCCATTTGAAGAGTGAATGATATTTCTCGTTGGTACACAATTTGTCAGTCCCTTCCCATTACAAAAGTAACACTCGCACCCAATGAGTTACAATATGTGAGAGACATACTGTAGAGGAGGAAAATGTGACATACAACATACAGTTTCTCTCTCCAATGAAAAATGGGACATGAACTGGACAGTGGAACACAAACCTTTCCAACATTTTCCACTGAAGGAAGCGGTCAAAGTACATGCTGTCCTGGTATTCTAAAAAGGGTGTTCCGCTTAAATGCTCGTGGAGCGCCCTGTGTCCGAACACAAACATCAAGAGGACAGTTAGAGAGGCAGCCATGACTACAGATGCAGCACAGCACATACATTGACAAGAAGGTCAAATGTTCTTCCCAGCCAGGAATGACAATCTCCTCAGGCCTGGTAAAGGATGTACAAAAATCTCCAAATTTAAATGCAATTTTAATTTGAACCCACAAACCACATCCCTCCCCTTCTCCCAAAGGTAAAACAAGCACATATACAGTATAATAGAAAATATGCAGGTACAGAGAGCTCTGGAGAAAGGAGACTGAAATATTCCCATGTGTGTTTTCACTTGCATTACTGCACTCAGGACTGAGTGTGCTTTTGCTGTGTTTATTCTGGGCCCTTGGAGTAATGGGCAACCGTGCTCATGCACAAACCATTTCTTTCCAGAACCACTGCTGTGTTGGTAAAAAAACAGAACAACAGTACACAGCAAAGCACAGGATTTCAACTTGAGGTTTATACTCAATGCATTTGAAGTTGGCATGCATTTACAACATTTTCCACGCAAATTCGTGCTATTTCCTTTACTGAACATGGTTTAAGCACGAACAGCTGCTTTCTTAAAAGAGCAACATTGAGAAAACGTTACTGGCAGTTCTCACTGACGGATCTATATTATAAACAACGCCTCTTCCTGGGTGACTCACTGTTCAGGTAAAACAGCTTGCAGCAGAAAGCACTTTCGGTTTCTACTTCCATTGCATAACCAGGAGCGTGGGTGACTGTTCTGATTGAAAGCAGGAATAATAGCTTGCACACTTGAGGAATGTATTCTGCAAGACAGGTTTGTTCCTGCCATGAATACGAAATAGATTGACATTTATTTTTGCTCATTGGGGAATGCAACTCACATAAATGCTATAGATATAAGAAAACAGCATTTCCTTAAAAAGCTAATGAGTGTAAGACTACCAGATTACTACAGTATACCAAGACACAACAAGTATGTACTGTATGTATCCCCAGGGGAGAGAGGGGAAAAGGCTTCAGACTGGGAGATGCAACAGCAGCCAGGAGCCAGGGGGAGCTTACTCTCTGCACTCGTTGAAGAGCTCTTTACAAGGGCTGAGCTCCAGGTTCTCTTTGCACTGTTCGATGAAGTATTCAGCCACCTCCGGCACATACTCCTGTGACTGCAAAGAGAGGACACCCAGAGAAAAATTATACCTCCTCGTTCGTATTTTCTACCCCTGGAAACCTGCGTTCAGTTTTATAGTTACCTCTAAGCAGCAAAGAAAGGGGACTACAGGTAGGCTCATTTTGTCCTCTGTAAGGACTCTATCATTTAAGACATTTTCCACTGAGCTGAAGAACGATTTGTCTAGCCATTGTTCAGGTGCAGATGCACAGTTCCTTCCTGTCTCAAATCTTCTTTTTGCACATGCAAAGTTAGTAAGTACTGGCGTCTGCACTTCATTCTTTTCAGCAGAGCTGAAGGAGCTTCCTTACACACCTCTGTTGAAAAGCAAAACCTATTTCCTACCTCACCAAGCGCCATTCAGTCTGCTGCCTCTCTGAAAACCAATGCTATTTTATGGCAAACTGGGTGTGGGTTTGAGGTCAACAAAATCATTGTCTGAGCCCAGTTTGGTGGCAAGGTCCTCTCACTGTCAGTCAGGATAAGGTTAATGATCTACACCCCTTGGCTTAAGTTTCTTCAGTTTAACAAAGAGGAGAAAACGCCTTATCGACCACAGATTAGGGCATCACTGTGGGGCAGTGGTTAGCATTGCTAGCTTACAGTGCTGGTGCCCTGGGTTCAATTCCTGGGGTGCTGTCTGTGTGGAGTTCGTGTGTTCTCCCTGTGTACATGTGGGTTTCATCCAGTATCTCTGGTTTCCCCCACAGTCAAAAGATAAACTAGGCTGGTGAATTGGTTAATCTCTAAAAAACTCAACCTGGTGCGAGTGAGTGGGCACGTGTGTATGTCTGTTTTGTACACTGAGATGGACTGGCATCCTCTCCAGGGGTGTATCCTGCTGTGTGCCTGTTGCTTGCCAGGTTAGTCTCCAGTGTCCCCCGTCACATTCCTTTTACTGGAAAATGCAGTTTTAAAGATAGATGAATTACAAATTAAAGAGATGTCACCTTATTTGGCTGTTTGCCTGTGTTTAGGAGACTACCATACGATGTGAGTTCCTGTCCATCTATAATAAGCACAGAATCTGCTGCCTGTGCTGTCATGGTAATAGATGCTGATACCTTCTTACCCCTTTTGTGAAAAACGTCTTAATGATGTCTTCACCGCGCACCTTTCTCTTCTCGTCTGATGTCACTTCATAATCCTCCTGAAAAGACACAGCGGGCAGCGGTCACCACAACTGACCAGACAGTGTCTTACTCAAATATCTATGGCCCATTTCTGGCACATCGTACAGAAAATGGAAACAGGCCCAACTTTCTGGTTGGAACATTGAGTTCCTTTGCGCCTGGTTGGCTTTGCCCCTCCCGATTGCAGATTTTATCCAGGCAGATGCATTTTCGAGGTAGATGTGGCGTCCACATGGTTGGAAACACATCGCATAATAAGCTGACAAAAATGCACAGCAGACCTGCAAAACCGCATATACACATTTGCCCTGAAAGTGCATGTGCAGGCCATAGCCCTAGAAACTACTGTTTCCAGTATTGTAATAAAGCTCCAGGAATTTGCAAAGATCCAAATGTTTTCCCATTACAATCTGGGACGAGCACGGTTCCTGAGAAAACACTGTGAAAATCCAAAGGATGATTGTAACTGGATTGCTTGCATGGACTTGATTTATGATATATCAATTTGGAATACTGGAAACATAATTAATTACAATATTGATCTCATAACTTTGCAGTTTTGTGGTTTTTCTACAGCATAAAATATGAGCATACTAAGGGGATATGAACTGAGTTTCAGGTGTCTTCCACAAATTTTAAATGATGCCTATCCGTTTCTATGATAATTAGTATTCGGTGAGGGAAGAGTAATACTTGCTGCCGCAAAGCTTTCGACATCTTATATATTTTTAGAAGGGGTGTGGAGTATTTACAGACACACGCTGGTATGTCACTAATGTATAATAGCATCCTACTAGATCCAGGGCAAAGGGGAAAAAAGATGCATGGAAATCTGTGCGTACGACACCTGATCCTCAAGGCTTGGTGGTAATCCTCACGTGTCCCAACCTTGTCCCCTCTCACACATCACGGCTTCTCCTCTGGCTCTTGTTACAGAGCTTCTTCATAAGCCCCCCTGCCTGCTGGGCATGTCCAGCCCTTGTACCCCACCACTGCTATCAAGGCATGTGCTTGTGACACTCTGTTGCCTAGTAACATCCCAGCAAACGGCAGCCCAAAACAAAGCAGGATTCCCAGAGTTTCTCATGTGGGGTCCTGTTGCTACCGCGTCACGTAAAAACCAGATGGCAGCCCGTGTCACTGTGTTTCCACTGGCTGGCATTGTCACCTCCTCCGCCAGCCCGAGAATTCAGAAAACGTCGGCCTCTCCTTCGCTTGTAGTAATCGAAAACATTTGAAGGTGCAAACCTAGCAAAGAGCCAACCCACGCCCGGTTAAAAAGAACCTCATGTTTTATTCTTCTGACAAAAGCACATCAATCTGAAGACAGTCACAGCGGAACCCATTGTGTAATGAAGCAACAGCCTCCCAGAGTCATTTCCAAATTTTGTTGATGTTTACTTTTGCAAACAGTCACGGAATTCTTATCATTTAGCTTACATTACAGGAGTGAGATTCTCAAGTCCGTCAGAAGCAACACTGTTAGCAGCACTCATACAGTACATACATAGCAGCAATCACACTAGTACAATGCAATCTCGAAGGGAGGACTGTTTGACTGCTTCAGCTGTTTATGATTCTTTTGCCTCTTGTGCAAATATTAATGAAACGTCTGGCTCGCTGGGTTTAGTAAAGTTGTGGAGCTCTTTAAAAAAAACAATAGAAAAGGCAGCACAAACCATATGTATCAGAAGCGGGCTGCAATGAAGTCTCTTGTTATTTGTAGTAGAAGGCACAGATCCAGCAAGCTGTAGCTGCCAAAGTTCCTAAGGGGAGGTGGTGCTCAAAAAAGGGGGGAGTTTGGGGGGGCGTGCCTCCTCTTTCCCTTCATCTGGATGTGAAGCCCCCCCCCCCCACCTCCCATCTCCCTCCAGATAACAATCAGCCACTCATTCCAAAGCCATTATCCACTGCAGTCAGGAAGCTGCAGTTGCACAATGCAAGCCGCATCATGGCAGGGCAACAATTGGAACCCGCATGGCTCTGACGTCAACACATCTCAGGAACACACCCTCCCTCCCTCCCCCTCTGTATTTTGTTTCTCCCATACTCTTGCACCCTTCGCTCTCTGCTTCATTCCTTCGCTTTCTCCTCTCTTTGCTGTTGCTCAACCGTAAAAAAAAAAAAAAATGAAACCAAAATATGACATGCAGGTAAAAACAGAAGGAGGCCAACGCGGTGGAGTCACAGGCTCTCGGCGAGCGCTCCCAACGCGGTTTGCTCATTTCTCGGAGACATGACACTGCTTTAAATGGGGCTGTAATTGAACACTTAATTAAACAATTCGGTTTTACCACTTTTAGGAATTTTGCCCACTTTTCCCCTTTTTTATTTTCCACGGATTTTGAAAGGGCTTTTTTACTCTCCGTTCTTTCATGTTGTTTACATTTCTCTGACAGGTTGCTACAGTCACCTTGGAATGTGTGATGTTCTGCAATTCTTTCAAAATAAAACAAATGGAAAAATCAGCACATACAGTAGTGGGCTCTGTCGGCGCATTCTGGGGTCAATGCGACAATGCACTACAAAACACTGCATTTGCCGAACAATACATCCTTTCACTCACAACGCATTCATCTTAAGATGTTTGGGGATTTACTTTACAGATTTAAATGTCATGTGAGAGGTATTTTGCCCGGAAACAAAGACGGGTTAAAAGGAAGCTTGTATTTTGGTCATTATCCAACTGGATTACACTTTGATTCATAATGGAGCATTCAGAAGGCCACTTAAATTGGTAGATGAGTCCTTCTGCAAACCATGGTTTATTTTCAAGACAGTGAGGACAGGTAATATCACCAACCTCATGCAATTTCTAAGAATCCATTATTTTTAAATTAATTCAATGGCATTAAATACAGAATTCATAAAGGTCCAAATTTTGTAATTATTTATCATTAGAAATAAAAATATATTATTATTTATTTCTACGGGACATTATTTTTTTCTATGGGACAAAGCAGGGAAACAAGCACCAAGAGTTATGCTTGAGTGAAATACAGAAATACTGAGACTTTACAGCTGCAAGATACTTCAGCAAAGGATTACCTATTTAAATTAACAACAGGTTGAGGTGGAAACATTTTAAAAATAAAGCAGATAATGCAATGTATGCAGTGTGTGTCAAGTTACCATGTAAAGTAACATGTTACCTCTTATCAGCAACTTCCCCTCCCTATTTCTTATTAATTTAATAAATAATCATTTAGGAACCTGTAACTGAAATGAATTGCTTATAACAGTGACTGTGGTCAGCACTGACAGTAGGATTATTTCAGCTGGAAATGATGGGGTATTGGAGGCAAAACTGCCTTAGAACTGACCTCAGACTTATTGTAAAGCATTAAATTAGTAATGTTTTGCTTTCAACATCCAGCCATTTTCTGTGCAAATGCTTGCACAGCATGAAAATAAGAGACTGGAAAATTGCTCCAGGTTTGCTTTTAAGTGACAGTTACTATATACAGTACCAGGTATAGGTTTACCACAGTACGTGAGAATGGTAATTTTGCCATTGTACCAGTACACACCGGTACCGGTGAATTACACACTGTTGTCTGCTGTTCTAAGTTTTCTTCATTCTTTGACTTCATTCTCATGCTAGTGCACAAGACTGAAGACATTAATGATACAAATTGACTCTATGAATTGGAATAGGAATGGGAGTGGCAAGAACAAGAGCAAGAACAAGAACAAGAACAAGAGCAAGAGCAAGAGCAAGAGCAAGAGCAAATAATTATTACTGCTTCATCCCAGAGGTGCCCAAAAAGCACTTCACCTATAGAAGCTGATTCACTTCAACCACCTCTGGAGGTTGTTTAACCTCTCCTCTGAAGTGCACTCTCCTCAGTTACCATACTGGGCAACAGGGTTTGGAACTTCTGATCCAGAGGGATGAGCGCTCCCTACTGGTCCACCAACAACACTTGCAGCTGAAACCTGGACTTGATAAGAATGGAGGAATGTGAGTACGGACTGGAGAAGGAGCCACAGCGGAAAGCGCTACATTCTCACACCAAATCCTTCTTGTAACACTTTCAGAGGAGTCTGGATGGTTAAGGCCTTCTGAAACAGCCCTCTAACCCACCCTTCCCCACCCATTGCGTTACCATGGCATCCAGAAGGTGGATGCACCGCAGGAACTTGAGGTGAGTCTCGCAGAACTGCCGAAACAGCAGCCTGCCAATGGGCTGCCTGTCACACAGGCTGAAGTAGTCCCGCTCTGCAACGACAAGACAGGATACTCAGGTTATCACCACCCCTGAGACCTAACATTTACAGTAGGTCTCAAGATAACCCCTTCATTAAAAACCACAATGGGCTTGCTTGTGTGAAGATTTGGAGCCAAACTATTCACATCAGGACAACCTCTCATTGGTGCTGGGGCTCTAAGGAGTTTTCCTTCCTACAGTACCTAAGGCGTGGCACAGTTTACATTTTAGCTCAGGAGTAAGATTATAAACTGACATGACACTTTGCCCTTTTCATTCTAATAGTCTACAAACAGTCAATAATTTGTGAAGCTAACAGGAGGAACTACAAATTTTACATTAGCATGGAGCAGCTGCAGACCACATGGTGGAAATTATGGTTGATCTGAAATACAAAGAAAACAGATGTCTGGTGGGAAGAAGCATTCAGACCAGAGGCACCTGAGGCACATGTGACACCTAGTGAGGCGGCGTTTTTCAGGGCAGGCAAGTCAGGATGTCAGCACGGAGTGGCTGGTGTCTTTTTACCAAATGGAAAAACAAACTCAATTAAATCATTATGCCTTGCCTTTTGCCTTTAATGACTTGAAACAATGCTCTCTACATACAAATAACCTGTACTCTCACTCCCACAGCACAGGGATCTGCTCAAGGACTTTACTGTGCAGAGATTCCCCCCACGTCTTCCTCAGCCAAGGAATCCCAAAACCAAACTGATGTTTTGTAGCCCATGGAGTTTCCAAAGCTTTACGAAAGAGTAAAGGCAGCTCTCATTAGAATTACATGAAAATTGCTGCCAAAAGTAGTAAAACAAAACCACTGACATATTCAGCCTAAACAATGTTTGTGAAACAAATTATAGTATGTAAATCTGGAAAACAACTTTAGCAATGCATAATCTGCTCCTTACTAAATCAACTGCCAACATTGAAAGTGCTTCAATAATATATTATAGCTCCCTCCGTCCATTTTTAACTGCTTCATCCAATTCAGGGTCCCAGGGGAACTGGAGTCTATCCCAGCAAGCAAGGGGCTCAAGCTGGGGTACACCCTTGATGGGATGCCAGTCTATTGCAGGGCATACATTCTCACACCAGGGTCAATTTTCCCATAAGCCAATTAACCTACCTGCACGTTTGTGGATTGTGGGCGGAAACCTACATGAACAGGGGGAGAATGGGAAAACATACAAAGTCCACGCAGATAGAACCCCAGGAGTTCAACCCAGTGCTGGCAATGCTACAATGCTAATCACCATGCCACTGTGCTGCCCATCACTATTATACCAGTAATTAATATTACAGTTTATTTTTGACTGGCACCTTTATGTGGTGACTTACATTAATACATAAATACATCATAACATTGCAGCAGAATTGCATAGTGTTCATTAGAGCTTAAATATGGTAATACAGCATGCTAAATTGGTGCAATATATACAATGATGAAACAAGCGCAAGACGCAGCAAGCAGCTGTGAGCAAAGAAGTGAAGATCTAAAACAAATTTTAAGAACGTATGGAGCTGAAACATAAAGTTCATGGAAAGGAATGATGGACATTTTGTTTGTGGGAGACACAGTGCTGGTGACAGTATATAAGCTGCAAGTAAATGTGAGTAAAAAAACACAACCCATCTGTGAGCAATGGTCTGGAGGGCCTATCTCTAACACCGAGGCTTGTACTTGCATCTCTAAAACTATTAAAAGTGACATCATATTTAATTGCTTTAATATTGCTGATGTATCACCACACTATACACCACAAGTCATAAAAATGAAAGATGTATACTGAATATTTACTTTGTAATAAAAATACATGCAAAATGAACTACATTAATCCCCAAATGCTGTGTCATAATTTAAAAAATGCAATGTTTTCTATGGGAGGACTATATAGTATTACACAGGAGGATGGTGGACAGTTCCATCGTCAACTCACCGATACTGTTGCGTAGTTCTCCACACTGGCTGATGTGAGGGAAGCGCAGAATCTCCCTCCATTTTTTGCTTCGTCCTTTCCGTTTCCCGCCCCCGCCTGCGAGAGAAGAAAGTGACTTAGGAAACTGAGGCCGTTAATAAAAGTCATTGCTGCCATGTGCCTCAGTAATTGCTTTCTCAATTCAAGAATCAAGGACTAATGCAACGAGCCCTCTAGGGTAGTAGTTGGGGGAATGGGCCCCATGATTCCTAGTATAGACTAAAAAGAAGTAGCAATGTGTGCTATGAATAATAATAATAATAATAATAATAATAATAATAATAATAATAATTGCTTACACTTATATAGCGCTTTTCTGGACACTCCACTCAAAGCGCTTTACAGGTAATAGGGACTCCCCTCCACCACCACCAATGTGCAGCCCCACCTGGATGATGCGATGGCAGCCATAGTGCGCCAAGACGCTCACCACACATCAGAGGGGAGGCGAGTAGAGTAATGAAGCCAATTCATAGAGGGGGATTATTAGGAGGCCATGATTGATAAGGGCCAATGGGAAATTTGGCCAGGACGCCGGAGTTACACCCCTACTTTTTACGAGAAACGCCCTGGGATTTTTAATGACCACAGAGAGTCAGGACCTCAGTTTTACGTCTCATCCGAAGGATGAAGAGCCAATGTGTGCTATGTCCTATGAGATTTCCCTCACTGTGATGTGTGATGGGGAAAGAAGTTTTATGTATGTGCCAAAGTCATTTTGGCAATAAAATCTTGGAAAAACCTTTCCCACTGCAGTATGAGATTTATTCATTAAAATAATAATTAATATCTTAAAAGTTCCCTTTTTTGAAATATATACAACAGTTCAAGCACTACGGCAACAGAGAGGCACAGTTCCTCCATCTCCAGGAGTCCACAGCTTCCTTGCACTTAAATGTCTCTCTCTATTTAACAGTGCTGAACTATAACACAGCTCCCAATGACTTTCATTAGCACACCTGCATTAAAGCACTTGCAGACTGTACCACCAGAGGACCATTAGAGTATAGCCTCCACCCCTGTTAATTTAAACTTGGGTCCATGCTTTTTAGAAACCTCAGTATCTGAATGTATATAAACATCTCCAGATGAGTATTACATATTGGAACTTCAAGACCATCACATACCAGTCAGCTGAGTAAGCATGCGATGATGACTGAAGAAACACAAATCTAATTCATATGTCACAGTTCTTTTCATGTTGTGAAACACAAATGTTATGCAGGGACAGAAATGTGTTTCTGCAAAAGCGGCCTTTGCGGTTTTGAAGTTAACATTAGCATTTTTTGAAATGCCATAAACCATTAGAAGAAATTCGTTTTTATTCCAAAAACTGTGTCTTTACACTGAGGACTATTGGTTCCATGGACATCATACATATCAAGCTTGCTTATGTAAGTAAAACTCTTATATTTAAAGATTTCATCTGCCCCTCTTTTAGTCTAGGGAAGGAAAGCTCCCTCAATATCTTTCAGAACTTTGTCAATATTCTGTGTTGTTTCACCCACCCCGGTGGCCTTGCGCGATTTAATTGTAAAATTCCAGGCATAGCCACTGCTACACTTAAACACACTGGGCTCCCAGAACACACACGCAGACGATGCACTTCGTTTCTCCCCCCACGGTCAGCTGAAGTTGGAACACACTGGGAACGAATAAACGCGTCAAACAGAGTCCCTGCTTTGTTAAACGAACTGACTCCTGCGTTCTATGAAGTCATTTTAGAATAGCAATAAGGTTCATGCTGCTCTGTGGGATTACTGCTAGGCCAACCTACTCCAGCACTGGAAGAATTCAAATAATTGGCAACCTTACTCTTACCAGTGACAGAGTGACACTTCTCTCACTGCAGATCTCTAATCCCTATTGATTACGTTTTGCGTGAGCCATCAGTCATTCTTAGTTGCTTCAAACTTTGCTCCAGTTTCCTGCTGCCTCTGCATTCGCAGAACGTAGTTATATTTCAAACTAAAAAAAATATTCAGGTTTTTTCTCTCTGGCTGTTGTTTTAATACCATGTAGAAAAATACATAGTATTTTAAAGCCCTTCATCTGAAACATGATTATTTGTTATATGTCATCCTTGTATACAAACTATACCTTAATTTATGAACTATACTAACTTGAAGATGGGTTTTACCATGAAAAGACACTGTATAAAATAAAGAGAACCGAACTGATTCAGCTCGTCTCATAGGAAGAAGCTGTCGTTTAGGCATTCCAGAAATCATTGGAGATCAGGTTCAGTAATGATTCACACTCCAGAGCCCCCTCAGTGCAACACCTCTGCTGCTCAGGGCCGAGGGATTCATCTGTAAAATCTTCCGCTGTAAAATTGGCAACACAAGAAGATGCAAGTCTAAACTGTTGGTTACAGTCCACTGCCAGCATAACTGTGAACATCCAGACACAAACATTTGACCATCACAGTTCTACATTCATAGTGAGGCTTGAGACAGGTTTAGTTGGTCAAACATTCCAACTGAGTAGGAGCTGCACAATCCCAACCTAGTGCAGTGATTCCTCACGGCCCTCTGTGGTTCTGACAGAAATATTGCAGTTTAACGGAACAAAGACAGCTATTAATAATACCAATGATTCCCAGTACATTATTGTTTTTGCAGGGAAGTAACTAACATCAATAAATGTTGGACATTTATCATTATATGTTTCTGCCGGTACATAGAAGGGAAGGGAAATTATTGATATTCAGATAATACTGTACATAGAGCTAAAATTACACACAGAAATGTGCTAATAAAAAAAGACTTCCACTGCTGCAACTACTATGTTGCTGTATGTAACATGAATAAAAATAATAGAAAATACAATAATTATTTAACCATGGAGCATCTAATTCACAGTTACGTTTGTAGTCACAACCTCTCAAAAATACAGTACAGTACAAACAATGGATTCAGAGTGCGAGAGACAAATTCAGACTGGAATGGCTTTGTCAAGCTTGAAGCCACTTTAGCTAATGTTATTACTGCTGCCACTGTTCCTGCAGTTACTACAACTACTAGTACAGTATATCTGCTTCTTTTCATCCTGTTCTTGTCACTAAAGCTTCTGCAACTTTCTTGTTGCTCCTATTTAGTTACACTGGCTTACTGGTCTATAGAAGACATACTGCAGTTTTTCTAAAACTTAGAAAAGCTGAAGAATTGTCCTTAAGCTTACATTTTAGAGTGTGTGGCTCCCAACTTTATCAAAAGAAATCATGGCCGAAATGAGTATACAAGTGCAGATGTATAATTTGTACTTTACATTTCACTTCCTCTTGAACTTATGAGGATTTTTTTCAGAAACCTCTAGGGTCCACCACTGACACAGATGTAGCTAACCAAGAAAAGGAGGAGGTCACATCCACTGAGACTAACCCAGAGCACAGCATTCAGCCAGAGGAGATTCCAAGACACTGAATAATGCTGCAAAGATTTCTCAGGACTGTTATCACACAATGGAAGCAATCAGTTCTGGAAACAGGCAAGTGCTACTTAAAAAAGCAAAAGAATCCATGATCATTTTCAAATCACAAACTCTTGTAAACAGATGAACATAAGCAGTGGTTACAGATATACTAATCCACCAAGAAACATTTCAGAAATTCCTTCAAAAGACAAATTAAACTTGCAGATCAGAGTAATGCACACATTTCTAAAATAATATAGCATCTATCCATTCATTTTCAAACTGCTTTATTCAATACAGGGTCCCAGAGGAGCCATCAACAAGTGCAAGACTGGATATACCCTGGACGGGACACCAGTCATATTTCTTAGCAAATCTGAGAGCTCTCTGGTGCAGGTCAAGTATTTAAAACATGCATGACAGCCTTGATAGGCTTCAGGTCTCTGCTGATGAAAAGATTATTCAGATTTTTGTCTGACCTGATCTGTATGCTGAGGTTTTTAAAGGCTTCAGTTATTCTGAATGAAATCCTCTTGTCTTTATTGCTTCACCTGAAACAGTGTCAGGCACCTGATAAAAATATTGGTAAGCACAGCTGATCAAAGATGATCGAGTCTGGCAAAGATGTGGCAGAGATACCTTGCTGTGCAAAATGCAAACAGCTTTGGTGGTGATTTTGCTGAACTACTGTCCATGTGAATTGGGTTCAGCCATTCTTATTATAAGCCATTACATTGCGCGCCGGCTCGTATCTGTCAGGTACAGGTCAATATGGAAATCTCACTGTTGCTCCGTCAGCAAAATGCGCTCTAGTCATTTCATGGATTGTTGTCTTTTTCAACCATTTCAAACATGTTTTCACTGCAGTGCTGAATACTGTTTGCAAGCTAGACACAATCAATGTTGTTCTCTTTCCTAAACACGTGGAGAAAATGATAGGTAGGTAAGTCTCCGTCTCCATGTTGGAGTCATCACTTAACAGAGGTAAAACTCCTTTTACTATTATAGCAGAGTCACTTGGAGAGTGATTGTAGAGACATTTAAGGGCAAATATTATACTTAGGTGTCTGATCAAATATCATAATTCTTTTCCGTTCTACGGAAGTGTCCTAATGGGGCTGAAGAAGGGAAGCTCTGATATTCAGCAGAACATATTCATGCCGCTACATCTTTTAGAACTAATAGCAGACTTCTGAATCATCTTCACTTCAGAGTGCTTTTCTGGTTACCTGACAATTTGCAGACCAATTGGCACCATGTGGGTGTTTTCAAGTGAGTTTGAGCATTGAACCTTTACCAAGGAACTAAGAAGCCTCTTACAGAAACAGCCTGATCTTCTGGCAAACAAAAAAAAAAAAGATTTAACATCTTAGTGGAAAAGCTGCCTAAATATACGATTTCTTTATTAATAGCAGACTGGAACGAAATCCTTCACTTGGAGCATGATTTTTAGCACCGCATTCTGACCCCACAGCTGGTGCTATGCCCAACTCTGAAGTCATAGTAGATGCTCTTTCACTCTGAGCTGTCTTTGCTTCAGTCTCTGGGAGACATTACAGTGACCTGGAGATCAAATCCGAAAACTATAGTTGGAATAGAGAGAGTGGAGGGAAAAGACAGGGTTGCTACTAAAGGCTGGACAC